TTAGAAGATCAGCCATGATTGAATGGCGGGTTAGGCTCGAAGGGCCGAATGGCCTACTCCTGCTCCTACATGTTACGTTATGTTATGTTATGTTATGAGCTGTCGGCAGGTAAATGGTGGCATTGCTCTTAGGCATTTCATACTGAGCTGTGTTGCTCACCAGGAAATTCACAGAGAACTCCTGCTACCTGCCATCTACCTATTGAGGGCTCAAACCTGCATTTGTCGGATGTCTAATTAGTGACTGGTGGAGGGGGAGGCAAGCGGGGTCTACTTGGAGCTGAACTGGTTTGGCATCGGAATGTCAGAACCGAGTTGACCCTTGGTAGTTCCTGAGCTGATTCCACAGTATTCCAGGGCGTTGTTGATGACAGCACAGACAGCCTGGCTCATCGGCAGGACTTGGAAAGACAGACCAGTCACTGGATTCAGCTCCTGTTAAGCCTATAAAGCCCTAACTGGTTGGGTGAGCCTAGCTGGACAAGTATAGGTAAAGCTTGCCAGATAGTGTTATCGATGGCAAGCTATGCAGTTTTAGCTGGTTAGACTACAGCAGTTACAAAGCACTCTGGGGTCCCCAAGCTTTGGCTCTTAACAACCTGTATCTAATACTTTACAGACAGAGGATCCATCCCTCCAGGGAGAGAGTGCGCATTCCATTCATATAAACATCTGAATTTCCAATGTGTAAGTGAGATGCATGGAACTCATAATTTGGTTTGGATACTCTAAAGCACGGTGATGGGTTTTCGTACGTGTCAGACACCCAGTTCATCTTAGCATGCTAGTCATCAATCCTCCAAATAAAATTGGTCATTCACTTCATGTCTGTTTGTGGGACCATGCTGTGTGCAAATGGCCTGCTATGTTACCTAACAATAACACAGTGACAGTAATTGCTGTAAAACACTTTGAGACATCTCAAAGCGATAAGGCACTATCAATATTGTTGCACATCAAACACATAACACTAGAAACAAAGGGTTTGTGTAATGAGAATAGCAGCAAACACAGAAGTGTTGAACACTCCAGTTGTGGCTAAACGTACATGAAACAGCAAAAAGGAAGATACTGTTGTTGGAATCAAGCATCTCTTGACGGTAGGATCATTACTGCCCCAGTGTCTGTCTGTAGGCCCGACCTTATTGAAAGTCTATCATACATATGCAGTTGAAGTTCCATTTTAGGAAACATGTGAAGTTGAAAAGAATAGCCCGAAACTATAATTAGAGAACTTTGGTATCTCTGGGGTTTAATTAAAAGATGCAAACTGAGAGTATTGAACAGTAACTCAGGGAATAAGCAAGGAAAATGGGTGAGGGGTTAAAAGGTTCACATTATCCTGAAGCCATTTAAATTAGTATCCAATTTCTACTTATTAAAATAAAATAGAAGCTTAGAATGAGGTTGCTTTATTGGGGAAGAGAGTAGATAAGGGGCAGTGACAATATTTTAAAGCCACCGATTCAAAGAGATAGTTCAATGCTGCAACAAAGAAACTAACTCCCACCTCTCTGCCTTCCCCCACCCATACACCATCCCTCCCCCATGCTCGGGCCCCGACACCTGCCTGTTCAGCGCTTTGGGACGGCCTCCCAACGTGATAAATGTAATTTTGTGGTTGTTGTAACTGCTACATAATTTAAATGTTACATTCCGGAAATATTTTTTGGCAGTAGTGGTAATAGTAGGAATTATTAAGACAAAGTTATGTGTAGCAATAAACAAATTATTTTAAGCGATATTGATGACATGTGGTGGTTGTAACTCACTCTGATGTAATGCTAATCGCATATCATCATACTAGCTCAGCTTTACAGTGTTGAGCGCATGTCTACAACTCCAAAACTGCATTGAATTATTGAGGACCTGCCTTTATCAGAGATGTCTCCCCATCTCCAGTTCAGCCCATAGGGAGGCACTGTTTTCCTTTTATTCTCTCGCTGCTGAGCACACCCCTACCCCCAACCCATTTTCAGATCATGCCTTAAGACCTTCCTCTTTGACTATGGCTACCTCCCCGGCTTGGCATCAAGCTCCACCATTACCAAGCGCACAGAGATGCTACCCTGTGTGAAGAGCCCCATATAAATGCAAATTATTGTTGTTTGTTGTTGCTGTTGAATGAATGACTCTGAACTGAGTCATTCATTCAGCCCCCCTCCCTTTTTTCAAGACCCATCTGAAAATCTTCTTCTTTGACCGTAGTTACGGCCACGTCACCCCCCGGCTTGGAATCAGGCTCTGCCACTGTTAAGCGCTCTGAGACGCTATATAAGTGCAAGTTGTTGTTGTTGTTGAGTGGTTCCATCAGGATTCAAACCCAGAATCTTTTGGTCTCAAGCCCACTGCTCAACAACAACTTATATTTATATAGCACCCATCCCTGTAAGATCTTGTGGGTCTTCACAATGATGGGGTTGAATAACGAACAAGGGAGAGGGAAAGTGGAAGTAATAATAGGCATGGTTGAAGAGGGAGGCTTTAAGGTGGGATATAAAGATAGATAGTGAGGAAGCTAAATAATAATAATCCTTGCATTTGATATATCGTTGGGTGGTTGAGACGTCTCAAAACGCTTCACAAAATATCCTCTAAGTGACTTGACTGAATAATTTATGGGCGAAACGTGGCAGCCAATTGTAGTGTCCCACAAACAGTCATGGATTGGGTGACTAAATTACTATTACATATATTTTTTTGAAGGTTTATTACCCCCGGAAAGCGATTTGCCAATCGACTTTCAACCGGGTTTCTACTTATTGCCAGGTAAAGAGAGCTAGACGGAGAGATAGAGGGTTGGAGTTCCGGACATTAGGGGTGTAATTGCTGAACTGCTCAATTGACTGAGCTGCCTCTATATTACAGCTACCTGACATACAGCAAACCAATCACTGATAAACAGGTATTGTTCACGATTAATGAAATATACAATGCTGACCCTAAATAACCCATGCTGCTCCCAATAAAACAGATTTTCACGTACTCTCCAAAGAGAGGTTTATACAGTGGATATTTTATTGCATTATAAAATTAATTGTAAAATCGATCACTCACTTCATGGTTGTTTGTGGGACTTTGCTTTGTTCAATTTGACTGCTGCTTTGCCTACGAATGCACATTCACTGCCCTTCACAGTAAAATGCAGTTAGGTGCTTTGAGATGTCTCAGCGACGTGATAAGGCTCTATGTCAAACCCAAGAATTATTTTTATTAGTGCAGAGGTTGGCTTCATCTTTATTGTTACAGTATTTGTTTTATTGATGAGAGGAAATTCACCAAGCTGCCTCCCAGAAAAGCTATTTAAAATATTAACCATTGTTAATTTTACGTTCTAATGAATAATGAGGTCAGTTTTCTGGGACGTCTTAAGCAATCCGAGTGGGAACTCCCTCCGATAAACAGAAGTATGTCATGCAGAGTCGCGGGAAAGCTCACTCCAAAAGTTAAACAGTGAGAGCAGGATTCCCATAAGACTGCATCACACACTCGATTTCTTCAGAAAACCCGCAAAATGATTCCATCATTATCAAACAAATTGCATAAAATTGGTCCAGGAAAGGTCTTTAGCGTTTGACAAATTTCCACTTTTCACTGCTATTTTCTTGATTGCTTAAATGATTTCCCAAACAGGCTGGATCAGTTTCCGGGGAGCTCATTATTCTGCTATTTTTGCAATATCGCAAAAAAGCCTGAATGTCTTCCTGGCCATCTAAGAAGATCGTATTCCCTGCTTTTTTATTATTTTTATCTGGGAGCCTCTAATGAGTCTCTTTGAATAAATATGGCTGTTGCACGGCAAGTGTTAGCTAATGGGCAACAGATAACAAGCAATCAAAATAGAGTGCAGTGGGACCCATTTATAATGATCTGAGCTATAATGAAAAAATTCCAGTGTCTCACTTAATTTGTCTTCGAACAGACCAGAAGAACAGTCCTGCTCTAGATATACTACAGGGTAACCAAAAAGTCGTGATAACTATTATTTAAAAAAAAATTGTTTCATTAAGACTTTTTAGACATTGTAATGATACCATGAATTTTTGATCACCCTGTATATGCAAAGACATGTGCAATTGAATAGAACTTCTCGAGTTGACTGTGCACATATAGTTTTAGTGTTTTGTGGGAAGATGTGTGTGTCTGGGGAGGAGATGAGGGGAGACATATAGCAACATTGATGAGGAAGGGCCTGTATCACTGTCTATTTTTTAATGGGAATTATCCTAATAATCCTTGGATTTTGTACAGTGACTTTCATGTTGGGAGGATGTCCCAAAGGGCTTCGCAGGATATTCTGTGAAATGGAGTGACTATGTATTTATAGGTGAACATGGCAGCCAATTTGCACACAGCAATGTCCCACAAACAACCTTGAAGTGAATGATGACCAATTTTATTTGAGCGATTGTTAGCCAACTTCCTTCTCTTTTCGAATAGTGCCATTGGATCTTTAAAGTCCACCTGAACAGGCATCTGAAGCATGGCACCTCTGACCATCCAACATATCCTAAACAATGCATTGGAGTGTCATCTTGGATTATATAAGTTCAAGTTCCAATGTGGGGCTTGAACCCACAACCTTGTGACTCGGAGGCAAGAGTGCTACCACTGAGCCAGGCTTTGTTTTATGCCCCATGAACTTGTGGCTACTGAGAGCTGAACTTGAAGCCGTCTGTGCTTGTTTCACTTTCCAGAAGGAAAGGACAGGACTGTCCTATATGTCTGGCTGGAACAGAGTCCAGCTCCCAGAAGCGAAAGACAATATTCTAACCCTCTGCTAGTTCGCCAAACCCAAGGAACCTACTACTGTGGCTTTGTCTGTACCCAGTAATCTAAAAAGGAGAATTCCAATTGGGTTAATTTCACTAACTATTAATGGCCATTTCAAATAAGAACTCAGTTTGCAAGTATTTGAGTGAAGTGGGCAAAAATTGGCTTTCCTTTGGTAAATCCAACGTTTTCTAACAGAAACCTCCTGACTTTGTTTCTTGTTTTAGCTTCCAGAGGTGATTCATGGTGCAGAAGGGGAGGAGGAGCCAGGCTTCCCGGGGATCAGTTTTATCGCGGTGACTGATGTCGTTGAGGTATTTCCAGCTTTGTCACATTTCTGTATCCTTGTATGAAATTTTTCAACGTTTCCTTCCTGAAGGGCGCTACATAAATATAAATGGTTATTGCAAATTACCATACTTAAACAAAGGAGACTCAGCGAAGTTCAGTTGCCCATTTTTTTTAATAGATATGGTTTCACATTTTAAATAGGCTTGAACAGAATTAGAGACACACACAGACGTTTCCTCACAGAGTAATGGGTCTGCGAATAAATGTCCCGGGGAGGTTCCAGTCCTTAAATACTACCCTGTGTGAAGATTGCTATATAAATACAAGAAGTTCTTGTAGTTGGTTGTTATTTGTTATTAACAGGTTGAGTTGGGACCAGAAGACTCACTCTAACCCTTCATCCTTTTGAGGGTGGAAAATGATGTCTCACAATATCCCCACTGTGAGAGGCAGAGGGGAGAATAACTGGGGTGTCTCTGGCTTCAAGGAGATATGCTTATTTAAGGCAGGCAGATCTGCAGCAATCCAAGGCTTAGCTGCTTGTGGGTGGGGTTAGGTATATAGTGTATCGGGGGAAACCACGATAAGACTCTTTTGATCCCATGCCTGCTGCTCAACAACAACAACCACTTACACTTGTGCAGCACAATTCGCCAAAGGTAATGTCTCAGAGTGCTTTACAAAGGAAAATACTACAGCGTATTGAGTCAAAGGTGTATGTGGGAAACTGTGCATGTGTTACTGTTGTACCCCTCCCTCGGTACGTGATGTATGGAAATTAATCCGCCCTCTGTGAATGAAAGGCTCCAAAAGAACTATGTTCCCACAAGCGAGTGAAAATAAGTTCCGACAGCTGTGCTCCAAATGACTTGCAGCAGCAACAAACCAGTTGTAACTATAGCAACTGGCACCCATGATTGCCACTGAGCCTTGTGTCCTTATCAGCTTGACAAACCAGAGCTCTCTGGAGCCACCCCATGCAACCGGTACCCTCCACTGGCTGCCCACACTGTGCGCTTGGCACAGCGACTGTGGTGCTGCTTCTCAGCCCCGTCCCAGAAAACAAATCACAGTCACAGGGTCCAATCTTTAGCACCGAAAGCTCAGCTTGTGGGCCTGAGACCAGAACACGGGCGTTGTGTGATCAGAAGAGAATGTTTACTGAATATTATAATAATTATAATAATAATCCTTGCATTTGATATAGTATCTTATCACGTTGTTGAGATGTCTGAAAGCGTGTCACGGAGTATACTGCAAAATACAACTGGCTGCCCATTTGCCAATAAGTACGCAGCCACAGCACTTCACAGTAAAAATAAAAATAGCGCTTCGAGGCGCTTTGACAAAATGATATGGAGTGATATGAAAATGCAAGGATTATTATTTTCCAGTTTCTTTTTAAATGCTGAAAAGACTCGTCTCCAACAGTCATAGTGGCAAAGCATTCTATGTTCTAACAGCCAAGCGTGTAACAAGCATTTTTTCAGTGACTGGCATCATAAGTATTGTTGATATAACGCCTTCTCATGTGGAAACATCTCAAACTGCTTCTCACAATGAGTTGCTTTGAAGTGTAGTGATTGTTGTGTATACAAACAAGAGCAGCTAACATGCACCAGCAACGTCCCCCACACAGGATTCAGATCAATAATTAACTTTAATCAATTTTTTGGTGAAATTTGCATTTTAATTATCCCCAAAAAATGGCCCTTTTTAAAGATCCCTCAAAAGCCGAATGGGTAATGATTGACCCCACAAGGCCTACACACCAGGGAGTTGCAGAATCAAATCCCAGATAAATTACTGAATCTCAGCCTGAGCTGCAGTTGAGTTTTCATATTCAGGCTTAATTTGGTAGTCAGCATGTGGCGCGGGGCTGCTAGACAGAAGAGGGGAAAGTAAAGAATATATAATAATAAAAATAGTCCTTGCATTTGATATAGCGCCTAATCACGTCTTCGAGACGTCCCAAAGCGCTTCACAGAATATACTGTAAAGTGAATTGACTGTATATTTTGTGGGCGAATTGCAGCAGCCAATTACGCACAGCAGTGTCCCACAAACAGTCGTGGATGCAGTGACCAATTTATTATTATTTTTTGAAGGAATTATTACTTTAATGGGGCTTCGATCCGTGGAAAGCCTCAAATTGTTTCGAGTTTAAGGCAAGCGCAGAGGACAGATTAGCGTGCGTTAATATTTGAGCTTCAGAGCAAAGAAATCCCCACTGCGCCACCTCACAAGCAGATTAGAATGATGTAAGGCACACGTGTGATTTCTGCAGATGGTATGAAAGAGTTAAATTGGCAGAAATATCAGGACCGCCTCAATGGAGCAGCTTGATTGCCCTTTGTTTGCAGACCCGCTTTCTTAAAACTCAGTTGTCAAGTGTCGCGTGGCTTACGTACAGTGCCATTATTTTTTTCCCTCAATTGCATCTGAGCAAAGCAAGCAGCGCAGCCTGAGAGCAGGGAGTGTCTTGCTGCCGTACACTGACATACTGAGAGTTACCTATTGGTGGGGGACTTAGCCTCAACACTTTCACTTTGCAGCGAAAAAACACACTTCCACACTCACAATGGGGAGTGTCTTACATACTCCCTGCCTATAGTGTATGATATAGTGCATGTATTTTGCGTGTGTGAGTGTAATCGGCAGTGCGTCAGACCTGAAAACGCAATATGTCCTTGAAAGCCACATCCTGCTCTGCATTGAATGCAATCGTGACAATGAAGTTCTGTGAACGAAACTAGTGGTGACCTGCATCGGGTACTAAGTGGTGCTGAAAGTCAGCTTGCGTATCCAGAGTATCCCGCAAAATTAAAATGTATTTTAATATAACTGAGCGGCGACAAAACACACACAATAAGATGTCTCTTTGGGTCTCCTCAGCCCTCAGTCTGCCAAATGCCTTCAGTTAGCATTGTTCTTTGGTGATGCTTTCTTATTTATGCAGAAATCTGTGCCTCAAGCGTTGTACCTCATCTCTGCCTCTCGGGAAGAAATGAAGGGGTTTGACAGATGGGTGAGCCTGAAGGGAGATGTCAGTGCGTTTACAGAACATCTTGTCAAATAAGTGCAGAGGGGACTATTGAGGAGACAATGCAGATTTGGCCAAAATGACCACCATCGGCCTATTTGTCCGACACCCTTTGGCACCCTTGCCTCCTTCAAGGCACGTCTTAAGATCCTCCTCCTCAACTGTGCCTTTGGCTACCCTCTCTGCCCTTCACCCTCCCTTAGCCCAAGTCCTGCTCGAGTCCAAATCCCTGACTTCCAGCGCCTTGGGAAGGCCTCCCGACGTGAAAAGAGTTATACAAATGTAATATTGTATTGTAGAGCCTCAGTCGTACTTGCCATTGGGCTCCATGCAGCAGAGCCCACCAGTTACCCAATCTAAACATTGTGATTTGGGTAGGTATTCTGACTTTTCAGAGACACTCCCTTAAGATCTGGCATGGTTGTTATTTAACAGTGAGTGCGAGTGAGACAATCCTCTTATTGTATGCTGCTCCCTGCTGGACGTTTCTAAAAGCACAGACAGAGTATGGAGTTTGGTAATGCTTTCGAAATAAAACAAACAATTTCAGTGTTAGGTTAGTGATTGAATTAGTGAACCTGGATCGCCCAGAGGTCGGGCGATCCCGGGTCATTTTAACTGGTTACTAGAAGGGGAGAACTGGCAACGAGTTCCATCTTCCACAAGGATTAGCTTCATTTGGGGCTGATACTGTTGTGCCGGATAGCAATAACCTAACCCAGGTCACACTAGCTTGAAACATTCTCCTACATGAAAGTAGCTATACAAATGCAAGTTGTTGCTGTTGTTCATTTTCCCCCGAGATAATGTTCGCAACGCTCCACACTGCTCATCCTTACTACTCGGCTCATATTCAACCTTGACCTACGCAGTTAATTGTATTTTACTGACTGTTTGCGACAAAAAATTACGAAAATGAAACCAGTGCTGGGGCAGCACCGACTTATATGACCTACGAGCATTCTGGAGCCAAGGATCTCAAGGTATCTTGGTTCTGCCTGCCTGCTGAAGCTACAGCACCACAAGGTATTGCAGAGCACATACTCATTTCCTATGTCACACAGAGTACTGGTAGGTGATTGCAAGATCAGATCCCCCTGTACCAGTGATTATGTACCCATTTCAGCCTCCTTGGAGCCAATTCATTCTGCTTTACTTATGAACAAGAACCATTTAGTGCCAGAATTCCATCGCTACCATCAACAACTAGCGTAGATTCAGACCCACTATCCTCCCCGTCAGTGAACGAAAGCTGTTTAACCATCGCATCTCTGATTACAATCTAGAATCGCTTCATACAGAAGCAGATGGATCAAGTTAAGCACCACCATCATCCGTCTGGTTCCACTGAGGGTCAAACCCATCGGGGGGCAGGAAACGGCCATTCTCTGCTGGTGGTAAATTTGAAGCCTATTTCAGTGTACCTCTGAGACCGTAAAGTTTGTCAGATGGTTGAAAGTGATTTGTGAACACAGCAATTGTGATTGACTATACAGTCAAGGGCTGCCCTTGAACCATTTGGCACTAAACGACTTCCTCGGCTTTAAAATTGGGCTTAGTTTTATCTCAGGGCCATCTGCAGAAGCAATTCTCTGCAGTGTTTTTTCTTGTTGAGAAGAGGTTTGTTGTAAACTGGAATTCGAGAAGTATAACATGACGGAAAAGTGCTTTCTCTCTTGTGGGACATTGATGTGCACAAAATTGTCTGTGCATTTGCTTACAAATACACAGTCCACTGCACTTAACAGTAATCGCTGTAAAGTGCTCTGAGACGATTCAGAGTCAAAAGGGCAGTATCAAATACAGTAACAATTGTGCACAGCAGTATCCCACAAACAGTGTTTAAATAGTAATAAATAATTATTACTATTTATCGCATTGTACTGGCCTCAGACAGATCCATACCCAGTGGAACTGTACCCCAGAGATAGGGATGTCAATGACCAGCGGAGACTCCCTCCACTCAGAAAAAAATGTTAAGTTGGGGGAGAGGATAGAATAAGTCTTCATCATTACCCCACATTCAATTTCTAGCTCTCAATAAAATGAGGCCGATTAGTTTTAAATATTAAGGTTAAATCCCTCCTGCCTTTTAACGATATCTGCATTTCACTGCTAACAACCAGAGTATTCCAGTATGTTCTGGTAACTTATGTAAAGCTTATTTTCCATAGGGCACCAGTTCACTTCATGAACTTTTAACAAGACTGTTCACTGGACTACATGTTTCCCCTCCTCCCCCTTAATAATCCACATCTCATGCTTCTGGCCTGGTGCCTTTTTTCCATCACAGGACTAATAAAGTATTATGTATTATTCCAAGCGCACCACAAACATCTGACCAGAAAAAAACAAGACAGAGCTTTGGAAGCTGGGCCCTTGTACGTTTGCGAGCCAGCTGAAACCACGCCGGCTTCCAGCACAGAACACAACACATTGCCCTTTCAGTTACCAAGGAAGCTTCAAAAGTAGCACACTTGGTGCAAGAATATTTGTCTGGAAGTTGGCCTTGGCAAGAGGCCAAGATATAAAAGCTGCACAGACCTCAAGCAAATGCACAGCCAGGAAAGCTGATCTCTGGGTCTCACATAAAGTATTCAGTCTTTTGGGCTTAAAATGTTGCTTTGGCAGTTCCTTGCTGTACAATTGCCGGGGAATGTAAGTTACAGAATATAATTTGAGCACACAGAGAAACCTGACTTTTAATTCCTCGTCTCCATTTTTCTTCATGGGTATAGGTGTACTGGGGAGGACAGCTTAGGGGAGATAGACGATTTGTAGGATCTATAAGTACTGCAGTGCTATGAACACCTACAAAGTTAAACCACCTTTATTATATTATGAGATGGGAATTTGTGCGGATCAGAACAAGCCACATTCAGGTAACTGCAGGAATCACAATTTGTGAATCCCTTTTACAATTCTCCAAAAGAAGATCTGAATATTAACATTCCTTTTCATTTCTGAAAAGGCTCCCTTTCAATTCTGAAATGAATTGTCCCAATAATTGCATGTGCACTGTTTTACTAACCTGAGAGCAGTCTGTTTGATTAAAGGCAAGACCATTGATTGAGCCCTTCCCTCACGCGACTTAACTGGGTAACTAGTCTGTTTTTTCACAGTTTGGCCAAATGTTCTCTTGTGTATACATCTCTCACCCTTCCTTCTCCTTTCTTTCCCACTTCCCTACATAAACATTGTTCGCCTACTAAAATAGGCAGTTGCTACACTTCACAGTGAAACCTCTGAAGTGCGTTGAGACACTGAGGTTGTTGGGGATTATTATTTATCTGCGGACGAATCTGTCGTGCAATCAGTTCCTCAAATTGAAATGTTCAACAACTTGCATTCATACAGAACCCAACATGCGGGGTAGAATCTCGGAGCAAAAGTACAATTTAGAGTGTTATTCTGGTGCCATCCTTCCCACTGCATGTTTATCCATCAGGGTTTTCAGTGCAAAGGCTGCCCCTCTGCACCGGAATAGAATCACACCTGAGTATTACCCATTTATGGGTAGAAAATAACAGGTCAATGAACTATTTCTGCATTGAAAGTGACATTGCCATCTCACAAGCTTCTTTTAGTGGTAAAGAATCAGGAGGAAGCCATTGAGCCCCTCGAGCCTGATCTTCCTTGTATCCTTTCAAATGATCAATCTTACATTAGTTCTATAAAATCAGACATCAGGAAATTGATGGCCACTATTTTGGAATGTGGGCTGCATTGTTCAGCTGTTGAGATCAATTTTTCACGGAACTATTTCCGTTGTGTGAAAAGACAAAGTAGAACATACTGAATGATCAAACCAAACAGCTGTCTCCTTTTCGTCCACGTGCCAGCGAACACCCTCAAAGCAAAAATGTTCCAGAAGCAACAGTATTGCCACCGATCAACAAGGCGATCTTAACTAAGCAATTAACATGGGTAACGTGGGCCCTGTAGCCACAACCAAAGCAAGGACAGAGCCAGGGCTGGTTTGCTGTTGTCAAGCATTTCTTGTGCATATCTTCACCACAAAGCGATATGTGCCATGATGCCTCAATTTGCACTTCATTGAGGCTCCAGTGTTTCGATTGATTCAAGGCTTTTATATTTGTTTCTGCTTACACGTTGTACACTCTGCAAGCATGGTTGGATACGATAAAGCAATAAAATGGGAGAATTTAAGAGGTGACTGTAGCTGTAATCCAAGAGATAGATCTTTAGATGTTTGAAAGCAGGGAGAGAGGCAAATAAGTTTTAGAAGTGAGCTCCATAGAAGGTGAAGTGATTGAAAGCTTAGCTCTGATGATAGTTGAAAGAAATGAGGCTCATACAATGAACTAGTCACAGAAAACTAGTGTCAGACTGGACAGGTTTGGACAGACAGGGTGGAGCCCTCATCATATTCAGAGGCTAACTATTGTTCATACATACAGAGTGATTTAGAGAAAACACCACATCTTACGGCAATAAAAGCACACGCTTTATATGGATTAAATTTATCACGTGCCAATACACTTTTATCCAATTGCACATTTCCAGAAATTAGAAATCCAGGCGAAGATATTCCATCTTGTTTTCTGTGGCCAAATGGTTGTATCCACCTAACCTGTTTTAACTCTACGTTGCTTATCTTCCACCTATTTAGGATCAGGACAATGAAGATGCACTGCCAGAACCATCCGAGCCAGGCATAGAGCTGGAAGGCTTTGCTGGATCAGTCTCACTCTCTTACCATGGCACACCATTCCCTCCCTCAGCTCCTGCCCCTCAGCCTGTTGTTGACATTGTGGATAGAATGATTCAGCGCAAGGAATCTATTGAAAACCAGTTAGTTGAGTGGTGAGTCTACACTACAGTACCATATTTTGAGATATGTTTAAACCTCCCGGATTCTAAAATCGACAGCTTCTCGGAGCCGGCCTGTGTAACCTGGGTCTATTCTCCTTGTCGCTAATTCTCAGATGTTTGTTTTACTAATAGGGTTGAACAAGAACTCATGTCCCAGATCATTAGCGAGATGTACCCTTTCCAGCCAGCGCCTGTGCCACACGTCAGCAACCGGGACGAAAGTGAGGAGAGTTTGGATTCAGCATCGGACATCGGTGAGCCTCCAGGTCTTCTTCCACCTGCAGGCTTCTGCACCATCTTCTCTCTTTTATTTTGTCAAACAATGGAATGTCAATACATTCATTCTTTCCCAATTAGTCGGCAATTTAACAGTGTTCGTCTTTGCCCTTTGTATGCGGTTCTGTTGTCATTTCCTTTCTCTGTTGATTTTTCATTCTGAAATTACTGGATGCCACCACATTAGCTTCCTCTTTCAAGAAGATGGTTTGGAAACTTGCTCCCAAACCCCCCACTCCTCTTTATTTGTCCCCCATTCTCTCTCTCTCTCTCTTTCCCTTTGAGGCGGTCTCCTACATGTAAGACGCTGTGTGAGTGCAAATTGTTGTTGTTGTTGCAGTTGAAGCTGCTGGTGGAAGCGGACTCCAACTTTTTGTAGACGCGGGAGTTCCTGTGGACTCGGGATTGGTTCGGCAGTTTGTAAACGAAGCCCTTGCGGAGATTGTTGCCATCATGCTGGGACAGCGAGAGAGTCAGAGCACAGATCCTGTGCAGGAAGGTGCCATAGGACAAACACCTTCACCAGTAAGACAGCATCTTATTCTATTGTATTCTGTGTGTCAGTCTGGCTGTATATTCTGTGGATGAACACGGCAGCCAATTCGTGCTCAACAATGTCCCCTAAACAGCCATGAAGTGAATGACTAATTTCATTGAGGGATTGTAATCCAGGATACCAGGTGAAACTCCATTCTCTTTTTGAATACTGCCATGGGATCTTTAACGTCCAACCATGTGCATAGTAGTGGAAAGTAAAAGATTTCACTGCACCAGTTGTTGGAGCAATTTTATTTTATTTAAAAAATAAGTGTCCAATTGCCCCTGTCTGCCCTGGTGGTATTTGAGTAAGCACACCTAATAAAATGGAGATTTTGTTCTGTTAGTTTAGTGCAGTGGAGGACTGCTTAATTGTTGCCACATTGTATTATTAAAGAAACAGGACAGATTATGGATCTCACATTTTTCATTCCCTGTTCCGCTAGGAGCAGAAATTAATTGTGCCCTTGATACTTAAAAGGAATATTCCAAGCAAGAGGTTTCAGTTAAAGGAATCCTCCAGCTTTTCAATTTTTTTGGGGGGTTAGCCAGGTTTCTGACACATACGGAAACCCATCACCATTGCTTAAGAGTATCGAAACCAAGCTGAGATTTTCATGCATCCCACCTACACATGGAAATCCCAGAGGTAGATTGTTGGAATGGAATGCCTACTCTCTCCCTGGAGGGGCACATCCTGATTACTTAATTCCGTAAAGTATTAGGCACCGGTTGACAAGAGCCAAGGCTTGAGGACCCCACAGTGTATTTTATGGTAACTGCTGGAGTCTAACCAGCTAAAACTGCATAGCTTGCCATTGATATTCCTGCTGCTTGTCCAGCTAGGACCCCCTTATCTATCAGGGCTTTGGCTTGAAGGGTTAACAGGAGCTGAGTGAGAATGCAAAAAGAACTGAACAGAATTGGAAGAGCAGGAGTTTAGGCACTGGAGTTGGCCTGGAGGAGGCTGCGTGCTTGGGTGGGATGAAACAATATTAGGACTGGAGACCAGGACAAGGATTTGAATTCAATCCGCTGAGGTTTGGGGAGCCAATAAAATGCTAATAATCCTTATATTCGGCATAACACTTCATCACTTCTGTGAAACGTCTCAAAGCGCAGCGGGTCACAGGATATACTGTAAACTGCAGTGATTGCATATTTGTAGGCAAACGACTACGAAGCTGGGACGCTACACTGCGTGAGGGGCGCTATATAAATGCAAGTTGTTGTTGTTGAATCTTAGTGAGGATAATGGTAATAAATCCTATAAGCCTCACTTCAGTTGTCCAAGCTGACGCTGCATTGCAGAGCTGGGGCCTGCTGCATCATCGAAGGTGCCTTCTGATGAGAGATCCCCTGGGGGGAAAAAATCCCACAGTTTTTAGTTATTTTATCCATTATTTTGATCCATGATATTCCCCTGATGTGACTTGTCTGCTGACTCCTGCTGACCACTCCCTCCCCTCCCCTTCTCTCTCTCTCTCTTTCCTTTCGGAAGTCATCTGGCCTCCATTTCACACTTTGCCTGACAGTCCAGCCACGATTTGAGAATACGCAATGAGGAGAATTGCAACAAACTCCCTGGCTGCTTACCTGCCAGTGTCCAACGCACCACATTGATCAGTGACAGACCGACACGGTGCACCGCTGGAGAGTTCACAACCAATTTCTTTTGAAATGTACCCTTTGATGTTTTCACCAAATGGGACAGTTGAGCATTACACAAAGTGCACAGATTGTAATACACTGTTTAAAATAGCTGGACCCAATATATTCAGAGGAACAACTGCTAGTGATCTTTAAAAAAACACTCTGTCTGGCCCTTGATGGCTTCTGGCATTTCTTCCGGTGAGTTTAAATCGTGGCAGTGATTGAGGCCTGATGAGTTGACAATTTCAAGCAGTTTTCAAAATCAAGTTGAGGAAATTGCATGAGTGTTTGTGGGACATTACTTGGCTGCCGCATTCGCCTACAAATACACAGTGGCTGCACTTTACAGTGAAAAGGGCTTTGAGATGATTCGACTGTGTGATGAGGTGCATTTGATATAGCACTTTATCACGTCAACAAGATGTCTCAAAGCACTTCACAGGACGTGCGGTAATGTGTGCTGACTATATGTTTTGTAGGTGAATGGTATTTGAAATTGAGAGCGGACAAGCGGCCTAGAATGTTTTTTCCTGGCCTTCTCAGATAGCTTGTGCTTTTAATCATTTTGGTATTTTGCTATTCTTGTAGGAGGTGCTTGTCCCAACGCCAGTTCCCACCCCCCGGCACACTCCCTCACCGCCTGCCAAAGGCTCTCCCACAATCCAAACCCCAGAACTCACACCCCAGGGGTCTGTGGCTGTGTCCGAAGAGAGGGAGCCAGAGTCCGAAACGGAATTAAAATCTCTGGCAGAACTGTCGCCAGGTGAGTGGTGGCTTCTTACCATTAAGGGAATAACTGAGAGCGCTGCACAGAACAGAGCAAAGCATAGGGTCCCAGTGGCATCATCACATTGGGACTAGTGGACCTGAGAGGCATCAAGTAATTCAACTTGGAAATTGAAAGCTTGGGGAGAGTCTCACTCCACAGTTACCTCGGTTGCTTCGATTGAGCGGTTACAGTGGAGTTGCTCGTGTAGGGGAAATCATTTACAGAGTAAAGTCATCGTGCCTGTGCTGCCTCTCTGCAGTCTCCGGATTCTACTAAGTCTTAGCATACGAGACTCTTGTCTTCAAACTTAGGATTGCACGGTATTTATTTGGAAGCTGTTTTTCTGTCGTCTTGTTTCTTGTTTTCTAAATTCCGACCAATTGAAGAATTTTCCACTTTTCTGTGCGATCTTAAGTTTTAAAGCAAAATGGCCTTGGAGGCTAAGACTAGGTGGAATTTCAATCCTGTGTAAGAGAGAATCTAAAATATCTAAAAGTTGCCATGTAACTAGTTGAACAACAACTTGATTGACAAGTATAGCAAATATATTAAACTTCTAATAACTTGTCGCTCCAAGAGGGAATGTGATGAGTTAACAGGAGTGATGAGTTAAGCATATATAAATACATAAATAAACAAACGTGAAACAATTTAGGCCAGGGTCGAGTTATCAGGAATTTACTGCAGTTGACTTTTGTCTTTTCAACATGCTTTCTGCAGTGGAGTCTCCAGCAAAAGTGAGTCCTGTTGGCACTCCTGCTGTCACCCCTGTACCTACACCCTCCAGAGTATCCACACCTTCACTAGTAACAACCAAAGATGCCTGCCAGGTACCTTCACCGCAGCTTCCAAACCCGTGGGGAGATGCAGAGCTCCCTCTGGAGGAGGAAAACCCCAACTCACGACCAGAAACATCACTGCAACCAAGAGCTGTGTGAGTACTGTTGGACACGTTGGGATTGTAGATATAGTGTAAATGCATAATAACAATGGCAAGTCGGGGGGAAAAAAAACGTCTTCACTCAGAGAGTGATAAGTATCTTGAATGCACCACCCCAGAAAATCATAGTTGAGAAATCAGTTGAAAAATTTAAATAGGGATGGATAGAGACCCGGGGAGTAAAAAATGTATTGAGGGATATAGCGGGAGCAACGGGGGGAAGGTGGGATTTGGTGAGGTTGTAGTGTGTGGGCAATGGAATAGTCTGTGTTCTTAATTTCTTATGTTCTTATGTACACAGTAACTAAAAATTCAGCAACCCCAGTTACTTTCTGTGTAGAGCATTTTCCACGACAACCGTTTGGTTCTGAACTGCCATGCAAGTCTTATTTGCCTTTTCATTGATTTTATGTTCCTTTTAAGATTATTAGATTGCCAAAGAAGGTAGGCACCTCAGATAGTTTCTGTTTGTCAAAATGTCACAAGCTAATGTATCTTAAGAAGTAGACCTGCATTTTTTTTGTCAGTCGGGTGGATATCTGACACATGTAGATGACATCACCGTGATTCACAGTATTCAAGTCAGACTGAGAGTTCCTCATATGTATGCCCACCTATACATGGAAATTCCCTTTTGTCTGGAATGGAATACACGTTCTCTCCTTGGAGAGATACACCATGATTACCTTATTCTAGAGTGTATTCAGTACAGGTTGACAAGAGCCAAGGTTTGGGGAGGCCAGAGAGTGTAATGGAGCACTACTGGAGTTTAATCAGCTAATCACAATTGGGTCTAATTGGGAATTTTGTAACAGGTTCTGCGGGTTGCCTTAATAAGTAACAAGAAGCAGTATGACATCAAGCATATGTTGCCTTCTATAAACTATAAGCAGTGTCTTTCAATTCAAACCATTCAGTTCAGTCATGGGAGCTTCCTATCCTTAGAACCGTAAGAATTCTAGCGCAGAAGGAAGCCATTTGGCCCATTGAACCTATGCTGGTGTCAGCTCCTCTGCTGGCATTGCTTTAAGCCCCATTTCCTTTCCAGTATCTTTTTGATATTATTTTTCTTCAAATACTTTTCCAGTTCACTTTGGAATGTTATGGTCTAAGGCTTAATAGCCAAACATTATGTCCAAATATTCCATGGTCTAATAGCCATCTGTTTGAGGAAAAAACTCCTCTGACTTCCTGCTTAACTCTTTCAGTCCCTTGCAAAAATAAAAAAAATTGCTAAAAATGCGATAAACCCAGCCTGCGAACTCAATCTTGTAACCATCATAGAAAGCAACCGCAAAAAGAGGGTCAGAGGAACAGACCCATTTGATCTCAGAATATCCAGACTACTATCCTAGCACCCTAGGATTTGCAGGGGCAGACCAGTCACTGGTGGCAGCGATTCTTCATACCCAGCATTGTTAACTTCGCAAGCCAAAGCTCTAATGGCTAGGGTGGTCCTAGCTGGACTAGCAGTGGAAAAGCTTGCCACCCAGTGTTTTCAATGGCAAGCTACGTGGTTTTAGCTGGTTAAACTCCAGCAGTTCCCCAACGCACACTCTGGTGTCCCCAAACCTTGGCTTTTGGCAACATCTGGAATTAGGTAAGCAGGATATGTCCCTCCAATGATAGGATGTGGAACATTTGAATAGACAGGAATTTCCATGTGTCGATGGGATAGATGGAACTCTATTTGATTTGGATACTCTTAAACATTCCACTTGTGTCAGAGACACGGCTGACCAAAACAAATCATAAATGTGCCGTCCTGACTGAGATTTGTGGACACCAGTGCACACAAACCAATGTCCTTTCTCTAAACGAAACTAGCTACTAAAGTGCTGAATGAAACAAGTTATTGGCATACTTGGACTTTTATTTATTTGTATTTATTATCTCAATTTAGTTGCATGTCAGTGGCCAAGGACGAGGAACCAGAGTCCTTGATTCTACCACCTTGTCCAGTGGTAGCTGTACCTGAGAAAAGCCCATCAACCCCTCCACAGGCCCGGACCACTCCCCCATCCACCGAGGAAAGTAGCTCAACAATCTCCACTGAAACTGCTGACCGGAACATCTCTGAAGGGGAGGTGCTGATAAGCTATGGGCAGATAGCTGCAGCAAAAGGTACAACTACACCGAGCCGAGCAAGACCAGGCTTTTACTTAGCGCTGAATTAGTAAATACTGTATACACCAAGATGCCAGCAACAACAAATTGCATTTGTATGGTGCCTTTCATGATGGAAGGTTGGTTATCCAGTGAGTAGCTGACCTTTACAGACTGGTTAGCTCCCAGGTTCAATCCTCAGTCTGGTCAGCAATTGGGGAACTCTGCAGTTCTCCTCAGTGACTCTGGTTAGGGAGGGGCTAAAAATAAATCAGCCAGCGTTCCGCCCCCTAGCTCTGCATTGAGAATAGGGGAGGGTAACATGCGATGCAGGCTGGATGGATCTCATTGAGAACAGTGTGAGAATGGGTGGAGGACAGGAGGTCCATCAGCCACACATCCCAGTCATTCCACTTAAGTGCTTCAGAGAACTTTAAATAAAAAGAAGCGACTTCAAACCCAACATTAGCACAAAAGCTTCTTTTAGGGAAACTGCATCCCTGCCGCGTGCCTTATTTAAATCTAGGTTGACTTTTTGAGCTTTCCTTGTTTTTCAGCCTTTTTAGAAGGAGGGCTACCCCTACCGCACCTCAACGAAAGCCTGTCGAGCACCCTCCGTGATGCTCAGGAAATGGTATGTTTGTCCAGAATGTACCTTTGGAAATTGCTTTCAGACCTCCTTTTTTTAAGCTGATATTGACAGAAGTCTCTTGTTTGCATTTCTTTCATTTCTGCTTCATTACAGTCCTGATGTGACGGTTTGTATTTACAATAACCTCCCCCCACCCCCCACCCCCATCTGCTGTTACCATCAGCAGGCAAACTTTCAGCCACTTTGCCCCCTGCTCCCGGAACTCTCTTTCAAAATTCCTCCTCCTCTTCCTCACCGCTTTCAAAGCTTGTCTAAAGAGCAAAATAAGCTTAACGCTACGTGCAATCTTTGCACCGAATAATTACATGTCAAGTACAGAGCTAGAGCCCAAGACATTCTCTACAGTGAAAATATACAACACACAATGCAACAGCAACAATTTGTATTTATATAGCAACTTTCCAATAGAGTTAAGGTCTTTACAGAGACAATAAAGAGAGACCAGCAGGGAGTGGAGGAAGAAGAATTTATATGTCAAATTGTTTTTGTATTTTTTTAAAAACACAACCGGTATTTCAAAGCCACTTGTGATTCCATTCAATATATGTTATATAAGTGTTTTATATAAGTGCTACATTTCTAGTTAAAGGGTTTATGTTTGGAATGCAATCCTCACCTTTACAACCATTCTATTTCTAAACAGATTTGGTTATACTGTACACCTTTTGTCATGTAACTCAAAGGCTGGTTTGTCATTCAGTTTATACAGTGAAATGCCTTTTGCCTCAATTCTTTAGGGTGAATATGCTTTCAGGTGAGCCATGTTCCACAAAGGTTTAATGCATCATTGAATAACAAGGCAATGCATTTATGAAGCTGGTACACTGGTACAGAAAACCAGGAACTGCAACTTAGCAAGCAAAAAAAACCTCAAAACATGGCAAACATCATTGAAGATATTAAAGATCTAAGAATTAAATACGTTGTTGAAGTTACTAGATACTTTCTCTTTTACACTGGGCGCCAGCCTGGCTCAGTGATAGCACTTTTGCCTCTGAGTAAGAAGGTTGTGGGTTCATCTCCCGCGAAAGGACTTGGAACCCATACGGTTTAAGCTGCTGGAGGTGCGCTGCATTGTCAGAGATGCCATTCTTTGGATGAGACACAAAATCAAGATTCCGCCTACATGTCCTGACATTAAAGACACTGGCGCTAATTGAAAAGTGAAGGGAGTTAGTTTCTCCTGGTGTTCTGGCTAACAATCCCCAAATAAAATGGGTCACTCACTCCATGGCTGTTTCCTGAACATTGCTGCGCACAAATTGCCTGCTGTGTTTGCCTACAAAATACACACAGTCACATTACTTTACAGTATGTGAAGCGCTTTGAGACATCTTGACAATGTGATAAGACGCTGTATCAAATGACAGGATTATTATTATTATTATAATGTATTGTTTGTGCTTAGGATGAAGATTCCCCAAGTGAAGGGCAAGTGATCAGGGCTCCACACAGAGGAGGAGAGATGTACTCGTTTGGCACACTCTTAGCCAATATGAATCGAGGCCCATTCGCTCCACAGGAAATATATCACCCAGAGGTATAGAGGCCCCATATTTTCTTATAAGCTGTTTAGAGTGATATGTGCTAAAACTGTAGGAGAAATGTCTTGTTAAGACCGTGACAATTTTTAAGCAATGCCAAGAATTCTATATACTGTTGGCACCACGTGCCTAAAATGTAGTGTAACGGTGAACACTCTTAAGGCTCTTTTGCATCATGCACTTAAACAGCTACAACTTGCATTTATATAGCGTCCCTCACGCAGGGTTACATCCCAGAAAGCTTGTGTTTGATTCAAATTCTCCCTTCATACATGTGAATATTACGGAGGAACTGAATTCTGAAAGAATTTAAAATAAAAAGATCTCCAATTTTCCTGGAGTAAATCCAAATGTGCACTACTTTAAATGTAAATCTTGAAATGTATACAACAGATAAACTTTCTCTCTTTCTCCCCCCTACTTCACAATGTCCATATGTGTCTGGACTTCATTCCCTCTTCCAAAGGCAACTATTCTCCATAGATGCTGCCTAACCTGCTGCGTATTCCCAGCGACTTCTGTTTTTATTTCAGATTTCCAGCATCTGCAGTATTTTGCCTATTATTTTCCTTTGGATATCTGTTGTCTACTTACTTGACTGTTGACCCCCAATGAGTTGGATTTAACAGGTGGTGTGTTCACAATTAACCCGTGAAACTTCTGCTCGCCTGGCTGTAACCTTGACTTGCCACGTGGAGATTAACAGTGGTTGTCAACGGCACCACCACAGAGCAGCCAGTAACAGAATTATTTTCTCAAAGTATTCGTTGGCAATTGCCTCTGTATAAACTGGCAAATCATAATACTGCTGCTCCTTCTGACTGTAACTTAATTTCATAGATAAGTAAATCAGTAAATTGCTCAATCCGTAGTTGTATTTTATCTGTTATGTGGGCTGTTATCATTTCGGGCTTGCAGATGTTGAGAACGATGCAAGATTCATGAAAAGCTCAGTACGCAGAACATTCCAGATGTGTCACAAGCCATTCCCCTGGACTCCACTTGAATCCTGGAAATTGCCACTGATATAGGGATGTGACAGAAATCCAGAGAGCCAGTGACAAATCCTTTCCAGATCTCCTGGACTGCACCCCAGTGAACTATAAACTGGCATAGATTTACTCTCCAGCCATTGGAGGAGCTGTGCACTATTTTCTTTTGATCACTTTGTTCTCCTTTACTGTTTTGAGGTTTCACCTCCTCCCGTGGCACTACTTTATTTTCAATTTCGAGCCCTTCACTTCTGTACTTGGGTTGTATTCATTTTGACTGCCTTGTTTGTGCAGAGCGTAACGGATGCTGAACCAGAGGCTATAACTCAGGCCATGGGTCGAAATCTACAGCTTCTTCACTCACTCCATAAAATTAGCTTTAGGTATAAACTAAAGGTATTGTTGAAGATTACAGCAGGCTTTTGGATCACTTCCATTGTCATTAACAGGAGTTAAAATTAACGCTGTTTGATGTCATGGGAAGGTTATACCCACCACCTTCTGTGTTTGTAAGTGAAGGGTATACTTGCATTATATTTGTGCAATGGATTATCAGGGAATTTGGCAGCTAGTGCAATGCAGCAGTTCCTTGCTGCTTCTCTCTATCTTATGCCCTTGAGTTTCACCCCTCAGTGCTATTCTTGCATCTACAACCTCAACTGGCTGCCATATTCCTGCCATTAATTATATTCTCTCCTGAGCAGGGCAGTGGTTTGTGATATCTGGTGGGCAGAGAACAGATCTCAGCAAAAATGATCAGCGTGAGGTTACTTTCCTTTGCTACAGAGTTGTTTATTGGGAGACAGTCAGTCAGCGAGTCAAATAAGCCACTTCAGACCCTTATGATACACTTCTTATTACGTTTATTTAAATTTACACTTGTAACCAGAGTGACATGCCCCTACAGTTAATTGATCTTGTTCTCAATATCCCGATTCGTTTTGTGAATTTACTAACTTCTCTCTTACGTTGTTTTGTGATGGTTATTTATAATGGTTAATTGTCAGCCTGTCTTGGTTGGTAGCCTCTGAGTCAGAAAGTTATGGATTCAAACCCCATGTTGCGGCTTTGAACTTGCGTAGTCGAGAGGCTGAATCTCCAATACAGATGCTGCATTACTTGAGGTCTCCTTTTGGATGAGATGTTAAAATGAAGGTCCCGTCTGCCTTTTCAGGTGGACAGTGAAGATCCCACGGCACAATTCAAAAAGAGAAGGTATCCCAGCCAACAATGGCTCCCAAATAAAATTGGTCACTCACTTTATAGCTGTTTGTGGGAATTGCTTTGTGCAAAATTGGCTGCCATCAAATAGACAGTGATACACTTCACAGTAAAACATCCTGTGAAGTGCTTTGAGACATCTTGACGATGTGATAAGGCACTATATCAAAATGTAAAGAGTATTATACTATTATTAAGTGCCTCGAAGTGATGTTTATCTTGGATGTTTTAAAAGGTTATTCTAAGTATACGTCTTCTCCAAAAGCTTAAATAAAAAGATGGGAACTAAGTGAATTACTTTAAGCATTCAGTTACGGGAAGCTGTCTCGTGACTAACAGCCCTGATATGATTAACAGCACATGTTTTCCATTTATACAGTAATTTCAATACAAAATGTCACATATAAGGGGCTGGCACCACAGCCACTTAAACAACACTTTGAGCATCAGATAGGATCTTGGCGGGGCAAACATGTGGCCAAAAGCACATGTGGAGAATTATGCTCATAAAATCCGCAAACACGTAAAATATACAATACGCAGGCAAAGGATAAAAATGCCAGATGAGGCCCTTCGTCTGCTTGTAGACCTGGCCAAGAAATACACTGCAATACAACAAAGAATGCCATGTAACTCCCTTTAACAGTGAATGTCTGTAAAAGAGCAAGAAAGACTTAATTGTGCAGAGCTTTCATGTGGCCCAGCTGTCTTGGCACTCTCTGTTATAACTTGTGCGTGCCACGGTATAAGAATCTCCCTCCACCATTTAAGTTTACAGTAAAGGATGCCATGCTGAACGTATGCTAACTCCAGCCTGTTTCATCTGCTCTGCACTTTCCACCCCACTACTGTCAGATGTGTTTTCGGCCACATTGCTTCCACTTTTTGGAATTTTCTTGCAAAATCCCTTCGCTCACTCACTTCCTCCTTCTTTGCTTTCAAAACCATAAAAGCCCAACTCTTCAACCGTGCCTTCAGCCCCTTCCTCCTCCCCCATCTAGTTCCCTGCTCAGGCTACCACTTCATCATTGTAATTGCAGTTTTAGTCATTCTTCTAAGTGAAAGACGTTATGTTGTTGTTGATTGGAAACATCTCAGTGCATCCCTACTTAGGAAGGAAAATCTTATACTGAAGTGAGGTGGAGTGTGAGTGTGTAAGAAGTAAGTTGATTGCACCAATATAGAATAGGTGCTTTTCTCAGGCGAGGCTTGCTGTTAATTGTCACCACTTTTAATTCCCCACTTATAGGAACATATAATTTACATGCAAAAGAACTTTAAAAAAGTAAATAATTGTAGGCAAATTGTTGATTAGGATCATCTACTTGTAACACTGTAATAGTGACTCTGAATCCTGATCCTTTATTACTGTCCCGCTGGATCTTACATGTTTATCCTCTTTCTCTTGTCATTTAGAACTCTGATGATGAAAATAGTGCCGGGCAGATCAGTGAGGGCCAGATGCCACAACTTACTGCGGCAACAGAGCGCATACTAACTGGACATTCACAGTACATGAATCCCTTTGCAGTGAATAGACATGGCACGTCCATCCAAAGAAGAAGACGGTTAACATCACCAGGGCAGCTTGGTTCTCAGACAGGTAACAAGTCGAGTTATCTCCTGCAGGAAAGCATCTCACAGAGACTTCCTGATCCTTAAAGTCAGTCATCAAGTAACAATTCCATAATATTCCTCCATCGTCACAGTTTCGCTACTCAGATCTGGCCTCTTACCATCCTACAAGCAGCGTATCTCCCTTACTCCCCAAACACATTCTTTTGAATTCACCATCAGCTATTTAAAAACATCCCGCATGGCTTCAGTTAACACATGCATCTCCCGAATTGCTCACAAAACATTGCATCCTTTTGAGCATTGCTTAACTCAGTCTGAAGCTATCTATGTCCTCCATTACCATTCCCTGATAATTTCGCATCTGGAGGACATCTCAAAGCGCTTCACAGGATGTTTACCTTAAAATGCAGCCAGTTATCTTATCCTGTAGCCAGGGTCATTGATGAGAGTGTTACACTGCTCCAAAAGGAAAATAAACTGCTCAAGTGTCCACTCTTAGCAATCTTTCTTTCCGCCTCTATGTTAAAATTAGAACATAATTATTCATTTTTGGAGGAGAGGAAACCCTTTGCCTCTTTAATTCTCAGATTATGAGGAGGACCTTCAAGCCTCATTTTTAATTTTGTCTTGTTAATCTTACAAGCTGCCTCGCTGATCAAATCAATTCTTTATTTCAAGGGCACATTGAGTATCATGGTGTCCTGGCCAACAATACCTCCAAAATAACAAAAAAAAATTGGTCATTCACTTCATCATAGTTTGTGGGACCAGGTGTAACTGCAGTGCGTGCATACATACGTAGGTGCTCTGTGACGCACAATACCACAGCACCACTTTGTCTCGGCACCCACCAGGTGTAACTGAAGTGAAGAACGCAAAACTGAAAATAATTAATGAACAATAGGTGATACGCAAAAACAAATATGCCCATGTCACTCCCAGTTGCAAGACCTTTCCGATGAGGTATAAATCAGGTCTCTATGTCAATCGGTTATTGAGACCCTTCTTGAAGCGCAGACAGACATTGTCGTTTTATTAATATAGAAGATTTAAAAAATTCCAAAAACAGATGTGCTTTGTTCTGCTCTCTGATAAATATTTATTGGACCATGGCGTGTTTGAGACAAAACTGCATCTTATATGCAAGCGAGAGACCTGAGTTCAGTTCCAGGCAGGGCGAAACCTTGGGCAAGTTTCCTTACTCCACACGCCTAATAATAATCCCTCCAAAACCAAAAACTATAATAAATTGGTCATTTTCAATCTACGACTGTTTGTGGGACATTGCTGTGTGCAATTGGCTGCCGTGTTCGCCCACAAATATACAGTCAATTTACTTTACATGTGTTCTGTGAAGCGCTTTGGGACGTCCTCCCGACGTAAAAAGCGCTATATCAAATGCAAGGATTATTATTATTATATATAACACCAATCAGTATGAAATTCTTCCCTTCTCACTCTCTCTTCCCCCTTTCCTCTTCCCCCCGCTACTTCTACACTGGAACTGAAGCAGTGAAGGAAGTTTTTGCTTCTGAACAGTAGCTGATGGCGAATTGAAAACTAAATTCAAATTTATTATATGTTTATAAAGGAGGTACAAAGCTCCATATCAATTTAGTACATTTAGTCAGAAAGAAAGTGGTAGAAATGTCTTTTTCTTATTAAAATTCTTATAGTCCACGTAATTAATTGTGCATTGTCCAGACCACCCCATGAAATCAATGCACTGTACAATTTTCGATATAGCAGTCCTGAGAGGTGAGAAATGTCTCACGTGGTGTCATGGAAAACATTTAAGTGCCCCCTGTGCTTGTAACAGTCACTACGTTTATTTTAATGCTTATCCCCTCACACGGATAACAAGCATTCACAATAGGGAAAGGGTTTATTTTACTTTGGAGAGAAACTACCCGCTCGTAATAGCTTGCTCACTGGTATCTTAGTATCTGTTACATTCCAAAAAGCCTGTAAGATGTCCCATAAATATGGCTGTGTGCGTGTATGTGTGTGTGTGTTCTTGTGGAGCTGTTCTCCGGGCCAACAATTTTTATTGAAAACACTTTACTTTGACACCTCGTATCTCTTAAAAACAAGTTTTCAGAAACGCAACTTAATTGGCACAAATTTAAAAGAAGTTCATCTGCAGTCCAAACCGATGCATGCGTTAATACAGTTGGAACCCAATTAGTTGTATCGCTGCCAGTAAGTCTGCTGCTTGGAGCAGTGCTGTCAGGAGAGGTAAGATGCCTTTGTTTGTAACTTTCATGTACTTGTTTTGACAAAGTCAACCTTTGCCGGGTGAGCTAAACCATTCAGTTCCATTGCATTCAAGAGACACTTTAAAAGATAAAGGGAGCAAGCATTAATGCTGTTTCAGAAGCATTTTGATTCAATTTAAATACTTCTCTTCCCCACCCCACTTCATAATAATAATCCTTGCATTTGACATAGTGCCTCATCACGTCTTCGAGATGACTCAAAGCGCTTCACAGAATATATGGTAAAGTGAATTGACTGTAAATTTTGTGGGCAATTCATGTCTTAGAATAGCAGGAACGTTAACCGTTTCCACTAGGAGTTTTCCAACCAGATCTCAAGAGAAAGGATCGAGTGTTAAGAAGCACAGCAAGTGTTGATATATTTATTGCTTGTGCTTTCTTTTGCAAAGACCTTTAACCCTCTTAAGCGTAAGCTCCACTGGTGGGCAGAGGAAGTGCAATTTATTTTTGTGATCAAACATTCTGAGTACAATTGATTCTTTCAGGTACGATGTTTCAAAAATTCAGGTACGTTTCTCCATCCCTCAGAAAATGATGTGTAACCATCTAATGCAAGGAATGGGAACTCTGGCAAATCTATCACTTCCTCTCTGAGAAGCATTTAGACCAATTGCAGCACCCTGACCTCTGCCTGAAATCGGTCAACTAAGCACAGGGCAAGAATCAAACCTGGGATGTTCTGGGGTTAGTGTGGCTACGTTTCACTCTTGGCAATGGCTATTTCAACTGACCTCTTAGGAGGTCATGCTCCACCTCGTACACATAATTCATGGTGTTAATTTAAATGGAGTCTGAAATGTCCCAGGTTTGATTTATGGTCTGTGCTGTGTTAGCTGATCTCATGTACTGCAGCACTAATGTGCTACATTTGGCCCCAACACCCTGGATGAAAAGGGGAAAGTTTCCTGCTACCAAAGCCTGAAATACTTCATGATGTTGGCCTTACAAAGAATTGCAGAAACAGCTTATGTCTGAATTGAAGACTTTTCCGAAATTCTGCACAACTTTGCATTTCAAGCAAGAACCAGGAGGAATTTGGGGCCTTCGGATTTCTGTTGGTTGACTCACCTACCCTGGCTCTAAAGTGAGGTATAATGGTCATTGGGGTGAGGGACTGCTGCCTGTGGAAACATCCAACAGTGGAAAGAGAATTAAATGTCTTCAGGAGAAAAGATGGCAAGAAAACATTGTCATGAAGGGGAACAGATGATAATGTGGAGATTTGGAGTCCTGTAGCGTAGTGGTTAAAGAATGTACCTCACAAGGAGAGGACCTGGGTTTGGTTCCTGGGCAGGGCGAAACCTTAGGCGTGTTTCCTTACTCCACATTCCTTTGTTTACCTAAGAGTAAGGAGGAACCTAGTTATTAGTCAATTGGCAAATTGCTTTCCAGGGATAATAATCCTTCCAAAAAAAAATTTGGGTCACTCAATCCACAACTGTTTGTGGGACATTGCTGTGTGCAATTGGCTGCCAGTTTCTCCCACAAAATACACAGTCAATTCACTTTACAATATATTCTGTGAAGTGCTTTGAGAGGTCTCAATGACTTGATAAGGCGCTATATCAAATGCAAGGAATTATTATTATAATAATTCTTAGATTTGGTATAGCACCTACCACGACGGGAGGACGTCTCAAATTGTTTCACAGGAAACACTGTAAAGTGGATTGACTGTGTATATCCTGGTGCTGTATGTCGTGTGGAAGGTTTAATAGTTGAATTCCGACATCACCAGAGAAGTTCTAATTAAACTGCCATAACCCAAATAGCAAAAATCCAATTAAAAGTTAATTTTCTTGGCATGTCTTCTTTAATGTAAGTGTTATTCATGCAAGTTGTCAGGTATTTCATTCATTATTGACCCCTTAATCCCCATTTCGCTATTGCCAGCACACACATTGTAACAATGATTGGCATCTTGTACAACAAGAATAATCTTGTTACTTATCCTTTCCGAGGTAACTTCTCATTTTACTTGACTGTGTTTAACCCATTTGACTAAACAGAAGTCTTTCTTTGAAAACCCTGCCTTTTGTGAAAAGAAAGCAAGCTGGTCAGCTTTATTCACCAAAAACCTGTTAAGCTTCCTGCAGGAGTCTTTTTAGTTTACGCTGTTTTTATACATCTCTGAAATCCTTTAATTCTGGCCAATAATCCTCCTCATGAATTTGTCATTCACTGCATGACTGTTTGTAGAGCATCCCTATCGCTTTCGCCTGAAAAATCAAGTCACTTGCCTGTAATATGTGAGGTTATTTGACTCCGTTGTTAGCATTCTCGCTTCTGAGTCAGAAGGTTGTGAGTTCAAGACCACGATGGGACTTTGAACTCACAATCCAGACTGACAATCCAATGCTGCTTTGTCAGAGTCCCATCCTTAAACCAGGGTCCTGTCTGCCTGTTCAGGTGGATGATAAAGCAGAAGGGAGTCTCCTGGTATCTTTGCAAATGATTCCTACAAAATACAGTCACTGCATTTTATAGTAAATCCTGTGAATTGAGATGTCCTCCTGATATGAAATGCGCTATATCAAATATATGGATTATTTATTTATTTCATTATATGCGAAGCGCTTTGAGACTTTTCCATGTCATAGTAGCAGGAAAAAAAATGCAATTTTTAATGTTTTTTATACATAATATAAGACCAACATTTCTTGAACCCTAGGAAGAAGTGAAAGATTATCGGAAGCCAGCTATGGCCCCATGAGTCTTGCTGAATTGGAGGCACAGACAGTCTTGGCACCTCGCACCAGACAGGTTATCGTGGCTCCACAGAAGACAGGAGTTAGGGGACAGGTAACATTTCCAGTCCATCCCAACTGTTATTTGAAGTGCAGCTGATTGCTGTTGTAATATGATAGCTTTAACTGAACAATGCAAATTAGTTGGAATGGAAGGAGACAGTCTGGACCAGCATTCAGTCTGGATAAGCCAGGAAGAGAAAAGAAGAAAAAAATAACAGTCCTTACATGTGAGATGTCACGCTTTTCACGTCAGAAGGACTACCCAGGATCTGGAGTTGAGGTACAGAACAGCCATGATCTAATAGAACGGCGGAACAGGCTGGAGGGATTGAATAGCCTACTCCTGTTCGTGTGTACTGTAAAGTGTAATGACTGTATTTTTAAACGAATTTCCACGAGAGTCATAAAGCGAATAATTAAGCTCTCCAAGACGCTGTCCGGCTGTGAAGGGCGTTATACAAATGCAAGTTGTTGTTGTTATTTAATTCCATCCAGAAAATTGTTGACCAGAACACTGAGAGAAACTCCCCTCTCAAAACATTGTAGCTGGCTGAGATTAGCTCATCCCCTCTGCTCAGTGGGTACTGGGTGCTTCATGTCCCCCAGCCCAACATGGGCAGTTGGGCTTTCAGCACATCTGCCCACATTCTCTGCAAGTCCATGCCGGAGTCCCCTTCAACTCGTTGCTTCCCTCACCTACTTAAAGACCAGCATCAAGACCTCCACTTTAACCATGTTTTCAATCATCTTTCTCCCCCTTTCCCCCCATCAACCTTGCCCCCACCCCCAGCTCGGGTGCAAACTTGAGTGTTGTACTGACATGAAAGGCAGGCACTATATCATTGTAAATTTGAATGTTATCATAATCTTGGCACAGATTTATGAATTGAAGCTGTAACCTGGTCTTTGGCTTTGTGCTAAAATGTCTTTCCCCAGTAGACCATCAGATGAGCAGCAATTATGGCCTCTTTGAAAAGGGATTTATAATTTGACGAACAATGGGTGTTATTGGGGCCCCAGCATGAATGCACTTAGGATCTCAATTGCTCCTGTTTCAACTAATTTCAGGCAAAACTTCTGCCGCATCTGCAGAGAGATGCGACAGAGGTTTTGGCCTCCCATTCAATCACATCTGGGTCCCAGAGGTCAAAGTTCAAGGTGCTAACTCATCACTCCTTCCAGGAGCCTGCCTGTTTAACACAAGGTTATATTCTGAATCCACACTGTGCAACATCACACAGAAGGGTAATGGGGAGAAGGAGCAATCATTGTACACATTAATCAAGTATTGGCAGCTTCACATCATCCCAATAAAGCTTCTGGACTAAATGCCACAGAGAGCACATCACAATGTCCCCTGTGTAATCCGCTTGCTGTACATCACGCCAATTCTACTCCAAAGAAACCTCTAGTGAATTCATCTCCTTGAAAGGACTGATAACCGATTGAATTAAATGCGAACCGTTCTTCAACTTATACCTTGGGTGAAACTGACCCACAGATCAATGAAAGTAGCTAAGGCACGTAGAGGAGAATTGCCTTTTACACAAGTTTAGTTTCATCCTTTGTGTAATTGTGTTGCCTCCATAATTTTATTCCAGCCTTTTTTGTTATCCATAGCAATTCTATTTGTACGAACCTCAGTAATCCCAAACACTTGAATCTACTGCAGTAGTAGAAGATCAGTTTGCTAAACTGACTGGGTTGTGCAAGGAACGGATTGATCGAGATAATCGAGTGTCTGCAGTAAGCTTCCCTTTAATTATGGGGCATACTGCGCCTGCACCTTTAATGCAGCGGGATTTGAAGAAATAAGAAGAAGAAAGAGCATTAGTCGGCTTGGATAAGTGAGCAGGGCAAATGATTGATATTCAGCTGATGCTTTTCTACCGTACTGTTTTTCAGTGTAGGCAAGGAATTTCAAACACTCGGCCAGTAATTTGCCTACAAAATACACAGGTGCTATACCACTACCACTACAACAACAACAAAAAATTGGTCCACAACTGTTTGTGGGATTCTGCTGTGCGGAATAGGCTGCTGCGTTTCACCCACAAAATATACAGTCAATTAATTTTACAGTATAATCTGTGAAGCGCTTTGAGATGTCTCAATTACCTGATAAGGGGTTATATCAAATGCAAGGATTATTATTATAATTATGTAATTCATATTCTTGACTTGTTTAGGGCGATGAAATCGCAGGGACTGAACAAAGACCAGCAATTACACATCTGCTGCTGGTCGAACCTGCAACCTTAAGTCATTTACAACCAAGTAAGTGATCTCTCAAACACACGCCTCCTGGTTCTGCTGCTAATTGTAATTAGAAAGGACACTCGTCAGGAAAACGGCAGCATAAATGGCACCTCATTCCAGAAAAGGCGTAAATTGGGGCACCTCCAGGGACCCCCATGGACGTCACTCTGACCCATGAGAAGTCGACACCAAACGGAAATTGCCTCACTGTGGACATCTTACAGGTCAGCTTGACAATACATGGGTCCTCCTGCAGGACGTGCTGTCCCTGGAGAGAAGGCCCTTCTACTCTTACCCCCTTAACACTGAAAGTGATTTATATTGATTTATACCAGTTAGCAAATGTTCAAACTGACTCTGGATCTTTCGAAGCTAGCAGCACGGTTTGCAAAGTTGTAAAAGCTGTGCATTGGGTGGCAGTGGTTTCCAAATTGTTACATGATTGAAAACATATTCAATATTTTAAACACGTCGTGCACCTTGTATCTATCGTTCACTTCGGTCCATTGTTTTGTTTGCTACATACATCTTTTTTTTTTGCTCAGTTTCAAAAGTTGTGTTTGTAAATGTTTGCCTTCCACTAGGGTACGGTTCGCAGGTGGCATCTCATGTGTGGTCACTATTCACGTGTGATCATATTCACATGCGAATAATAGCCCCTTGAGTGAGGTTCTGAGGAGTCAATGAACTGTTCCCCAGAGAAAGTGGGTTAAAAGTCCTCAGGAGGGAAGCAGAGAAGATTGGAGGAGAAAGAATTGGCAGAAAAAATTACATTTAATTTTTTTTATAACAATAATTTAATCTTCATTAAACAATAACTAATAATAACTTAAATAATAGTTTAATCTTTCATAATGTGGCAATAATAATCCTTGCATTTGATATACCGCCTTTTGTGTCGTGAGGATGTCTCAAAGCACTTCAGGAGTTATTGTGAAGTGTTGCCACTGTGTATTTTGTGGGTAAATGCAGCAGCCAGTTTGTGCTCAGCAGTAACCTACAAATAAATGGCTATGAAATGAATGATGAATTTTATCAGGAGGATTGCTGGCCAGGACACCGGGAGAAACTCCCTCCTCTTTTAGAATAGTACCATGGGATCTTTAACGTCCATGTGAACAGGCAAGTAGGTATTTGGTTTAATGTCTCATCTAAAATATGACATCTACAACAATGCAGAGTACAGCACTGCCTCAACACTACACTGGAGTGTCAGCCTAGTTCAAAGTCTACACGTGGGGCTTGAAGCCACAACCTTCTGACTCAGAGGCAAGAGAGCTATCGGATGTTTTGTTCCAGTCTAATGAATAGATGCAATATTTTGGACAGATGTTTAAGAAAATAAATTATTACAACTTTTATCATAGGATATCATTTTTAAATTAAGTGGGCTTAGTATTTAACACAAAGACTATATCGCTTTATTGCAGTAACATGCTGTGTACACGAGAGAGCAGAGTTCTCAGAAGTTGTCTCTTCTAGTTGTAATATTCTCTGTTAGCAGTAGATGGCAGTTGTGGTCAACTGTGGTTGTTAAGATAATCTTTTACACCTTCGTTTTCCAGCTATTGTTCAACCGTTTTCTTTTTTCCAAAATGCTTCTCATTTGTGAGTCGTGACGCTATTTACTTTCTGTTGGCACAACATCTCGAGAGAGAGAAGCTGCTGAGAAGCTGGACACCCAACGGCAATTAGCAGTGGCTGCTTCAAAGCTTGTTTTCCTCTTTTTTTGTCAAAATAAAGGAGCTTCAGGTGCTTTAATAAGTGTGAAAACACTGATCCTCAGAGCAACAAGGTACAGCTTCCCACCTGCGATTACCCCACACTGCGCAGCCCTCATCCCAGCTGTGTCCTTGAGGGAGGAGTTGAGAATAGTATGGAGGAAAATGGAATCTGTGTTTACGGATTAAAGTGGTAATAATAATCCTTGCATTTGGTATAGCGCCTTCGCTGGTCAGACTCTATGGGTGGTGGGATTGGAGAGACATCCTCCTGTGTCCAGTTCTAAAATGTCATTGTCAGAGGTTGGTGTCCGCTTGTTTCTTGTCTTGTGAGACATAAGCGCTCTGAGACGCTACCCTGCGTGAAGGGCCCTATACAAGTGCAAATTGTTGTTGTCTTAGAAGGAGAGTGGTTGGGAAGAGGCATAAAGTGCACTCAGAGCTCATTCATTCAAGCATAAAACAAACACTTTAATAATTGCGCCGACACTGCAGCTCAGTATTTTGGTCTTGTTTAAAGGAAATTACTCAGTGCAAATCGGCTGCTGCGTTCACCTACAACAAGTTGCATTTATATAGCACCCTTATTTAGCTTCTCGGAGCACTTAACAGTGACAGAGCCTGACGCCGAGCCAGGGCGGAGGTGACTGTGAGCGCGGTCGAAGAGGAAGATCTTCAGCCGTGACTGAAAGTACAGTCACCACACGTAGCGGTAAATCCTCTGAGGCACTTTCATAGGAACATAGAAACAGGAGTAGACCTTTCAGCCCCTCGAGCCTGTTCCGCAATTCTATTCGATCACGGCTGATCTGTACCTCAACTCTAATTTCAGACAGATGAATGACACTATACAGGGCTGTATAAAACGCAAGCATTATTATTTCCCCAACTAAAGGAAATTGTTCTCCCCTTAGCACTTGATTCCCTGGATTGGAAGACTGCCTGTGTTGAATCACCTGATGTATGCTTTGTATCAGCCTTCATCTAAACCCCATCTGTTCTTCATCAATCGGACTTCACAGCCACCAATTCTGCTTGTCCTTCCACTGTCCTGACACTCTTACTGCCTTGTCCATGCCACCCCCCCCCCCCCCCCCATCCCCTGCATCAAAAATTCTGTCTGGATAAGTCGGACAGCTGTGTTCTGCACCTTGGAACTATTACCGCAGAACCAGTGGTGTGGAATGTGCGTTGCGACATATTCCCACTGGTACCATGTGTACAGTGAACTGCTCCATCAACAGCTTTCCCATTAAACACGATGTTTATGGATCAACAAAAATCATTGTTTCGTGACCTAGTTTGCTGCATAGCGATAAGATGGGGGTGCAAGTTTCTGTTTCTTTTCTGACCATCGATGCTGCTTTCATCTAGTTCTTAGAAGTGGGTGTTTATCTTAGCCTTCTTCATCTCATTTATTCTTTCTCTCGTCTAACACTTATTTAGCTTTTGTTCTTTTGAAATCTTGAGACTATTAAATCAGTTCTGCTGATCTGGCAATTCACTCATGCCAAAATCCCAGACAATTCCCTACTGTCTTCCCTTTCATCCTTAAACAGTGTGCTTACCCCCCTCTCTTCTCTCCCCTCACAGCTCAATGGATAAATGCACCATTTGTTGTTGCCCTGAGCCGTACAGACTGGGGAGGTCTGAGGCAGGCCTGATCCCTGGTTTGCGTTAGTTAGCTGATCTCAGCCAGGGAGTTAGAACAGATTTGCAATTGCTTGATCTTCCCTGGGCTGGGGAGGGGAATCAATCAGTTAGGATTTCCACTGCGATCAAGTGAAACATGCTGGAAAAGTGTGCGTGTGTGAACATGGAGAGGGGGCAAAGCTCCCAGTGGACATATGTTGCACACTGTTTGGGTTCATGTGTGAAGAATGGATTTTAGAGTCAGGGCTCGTGCAACCATTTGGTGCTGCCTGAATGCAGGAGAAGAGAGGGAGCAATGATGGACTTCTCTCTGTGCAGGAGGTATTACAGACCTGTAAGAAATTTCAGCAGCCTTTGAATAAGCCTATCCTGAAAAATACATTTGAAAACTTTTGATTGACATCTGGTCCATGGTTTAAAGTGCTGAGTGAAACCACCTCATTGATGCAGTTCATTTCTTCAGATAACTTTGTATAATCCTGTATTCTTTCGAGGTTTCTCGGCAGATGTTATTTGTGCAGCACCACAACCAGATCTGCGCTGTCCTCACCCTGCACAAAATCCCTGCATGAATCTCACACAGGCCTGGCTTAGCCCCATGTGTAAGGAATTAACAGCGATGTTACTAAATTCTGCTAAACTGCAACTATCCAGGTGAAGAACTACAAAAGCTAGAGAAAGATTCTCATTCTGCAGGTCCCCATCAGTCTGTGGGTCCAGCTCCAAATCTCGATAGATTTTGAAACGGGAATTTTATTTTTAAAAGAATTAAAATCGTTCTGTTACAATAGTGCGTTATTTTTTCAGTGAGATCTAAAGGAACTTTCAGCTTCACTGACTCTGCCCATTTGTCTGTGTCTCGTAATGGCAGATAACTTTAGAAAAGAGTTGACAAATGGGGAGCAAATGTATTTGTACAGCGGGTGGGAGGAGGGGAGGAAGGACGTCAAGTCATTAAATTAAGTAGCAACATTTGCAGTGATTTTTTTAAACTCAGTTTTGTGGCTTGGTTGGGCTGTTTCTTTTAAAAACGAAAACTTTATTTTCTTTGAGAAATAAGCTCAAAAGAGGTCAAGCAGACATGATGTATTGGTGCTTGCCTCCCAAAGGAATTATCACTCAGTTGAATTTCTTGTACATTACTGTATCTCGTTCTTGTTTATTTTTACAATACTTCCTGCTGAGTTAGCTGTGTGATGGGACAAAAAGAGAGGCCCAGGCACTAACAATATTGTTTTATACTGCAGCATTGCATGGGTTGAAGTTTATTTGCGGTCATTTTTTTTAAAAAAGGGAAAATGAGTGTTGTTTTATATTCTAGAACAAGTTTCAAATCAATTGGATCTCCCAAAATATTTATCCCCAAATATTTACATTTATAAATTGAATTTAATTCAAGAAAGAAGCTTGTTTGTAATCAGCCTTCCGTTAAGAGTGCTGTTGGTTTGGTCACTCAATCCACGACTGTTTGTGGGGCAATCCTATGAGCAATCGGCTGCCACGTTTCACCCACAAAATATACAGTCAATTCACTTTACAATATATTCTGTGAAGTGCATTGAGACGTCTCGACAAAGTGCAAGGTTTATTATAAATGTACTAAAATTGTAAAATTGTACACGCGCAACACTGCAGATCATCCTCTCAATTACACCTTCAGTAACATGGGAGGGTCGATTTTTCCCCTGTTTTTGTTCAGCGCTGCTTGATGGCGGAGATGAGACCAGTCAGAATCTGACCTTATCTCCACTGCCACCAACAGAGATTCAGCTCCCTGGGTGACTGCAGCTTTTATCACCATCCATCGGACAGGACTCCAACTGGGCATGAAATATTTAAAACAAATATAGCAGAGTTCACGCAGGCAGAAATACCAGCCGACTTCTCCCTGAAGTCTCCTGGGGATGACCCTGTGCATAAAATCCGCTTGACAGATAATAGTTTGTACATTTATTTTATTAATTTCTGCCAGAACTGGGCAGCGGTGAATCCACTGTTTTTCTGGAGCAAAATAGCACATCTGGAGTCTTTAGCTCCTCTACACCCCTGTGTCTCTTTGTTCCATTGAGGAGAAAGGAAAGAAGCCCATTGAGCCCACTCTTGGGTTCATTTCCCAATTCCACTTCCCACTCTTAACTAATTCTCCCCTGTGTTTGGCCACCCGGGGGGGAAGGAATTCCCCCTGGGGCTACATTGACTCTATTTGTGTAGCATTTCAGACCATCCAGAATTTGGCAAATCATTGAATTCATTCTGAAACTTGAAGCTGTTTTTCTGCAGTACGTATAGTAAAAATAATAATAATCATCATCATCCATGCATTTGAGATAGCGCCTCATCATGTCATCGTTGAGACGTCTCAAAGCACTTCACAGAATATAGAAGAAGATTGACTGTGTATTAGTGTGTTGGACAGCAGCCAATTGGGCCACAGTCGTGGATTGAGTGACCAACCTTTTTTTGGATGGATTATTACGCCTGGAAAGTGACCCGCCAATCGACTAACAACTGGGTTCCTATTTACTGCTAGGTAAACAGAGGTGTGTGGAGTAAGGACACTTGCCTAAGGTTTCGCCCTGCCCGCGAAACTAGCCCGTGTTTCTTTTAAAAAAGGGCTTAAAAATTAACACTGTCTTAAGAACTTGCCAACCTCTTTAATGCTAAGAAAATAGTGTTAGTCTAGCCCAGGTGGAATTTCTGCTCTCCTACTCCCCCCCCCCCCCCCGTGTTCTTGCTAGAGAATTATCTGCATGTACTAATTTCATCTTGGCCTGGCCAGCAATCCCCCTGACAAACAGTGGGCAAGCACATCAGGGCAGTCTGTGGGACATTGTTGCATCCAAGTTGGTTGCTGGGTTCGCCAACAAAATACACAGTCACTGGGCTTTATAGTATATCCTGTGAAGTACTTCGAAAAGTCTCAACAGCGTGATAATGCACTGTACAAAATACAAGGGTTATTATCTTCAGCATTATATTCAGAGCCACTCGGGAAGGTTGGTTTAACTAAGATTCGTGAAACCGCCCTGAACTTTCTGTTCAGTCTTCATTTGCTTGATGCAATTCAGATCTGTTTCAAAAGCAAGATGCACTGTTTGTCTTCTTACCAGAAAGCCAGAAATTTTTGCACAGAACATTTTGATAAATTGGACTAGAGGGTCAGTTTTATTAGAGACATGAAGGCCAATTTTCCGGGACTTTTCCAGACAGCCTTTCATCATTTTATTGGCTTTTCTCCCGACGTTGTTTTCGTGCCCCCGATTTGAGCCTGAAACTGCCTGCGTTTATTGTTTTTACTGAGACCAGTCATAGCACCGAAATAGAGGAACAATGCAGCAAACTGTGGAAGCTGCTTTAGGACGTTGAGAGCTTACAAGTGTTCTGACTTTAATCACTCAGCTAATAGCATCGCAGTTTACCAAACAATTAATCCCACCAGGGATTGCTTGGGATATCCATGATGAAATGGAGGGATTATTTGTAATTGTGGGAAGCAACTGCCTGTGTTTCTCACGCATGTAAAGCATTTCTGTTGCTTCTGGAACGCCCTGCCTCAATCCCTTTGCCTTGCCCCCCCCCCTTTATATCTATCCGTAACTCCAGCCCTGATACCTGTCTCTTCGACCACGCCTATGGTCACCTCCCCCTTTGCTCACTGCTAGCCCTGCCTAAGTAGCACTCAGAGATGCTATCTATCCTTTGTGTAAAGCGCCGTATACATTCAAGTTGTTGTTTATTAGATGAAAGGCTGTCTGGAAAAGTCCCGGAAAATTGGCCTTCATGTCTCTAATAAAACTGACCCTCTAGTCCAATTTATTAAAATGTTTTGTGCACAATTTTGTGATATTTCTAAATTGTGAAATCTAAGTGGGGTCTCCTTCTCCAGGTGGACACCAAGTATATCACTCCGATTCAACATTGATTCCGCTCAAAAATATATTGAGTTGAAGTCACAGACTTCTGGATTTCCTATTTAGGAAATTGGTTAAGAAATCATGGAAAGTTGACCCCCCGGTTTTTCAGTTAGAAACCTTTCAAAAAATGAGCCTTCAGTTTAACATGGGGTAATAGGGTTAACTTATGTGTGGGTTTTTAACCTGCAAGTTCTGTATTGGATCATTTGTTTCCTGCTCTTATTGCTTTTACTGCATATTTTCTGAACAATGAAGATCAGGAGGAATGCTACATTCTGTTAAACGGTGGATTAACGCTACTGTAATGGAGCTTTCACTGAGAATTTCCTGCCCACTGCCTCAGAGGTGCCTATCCAAACACTTACCTCTGCAGCTAGTCTTAGGGCCTCCTTTTCCTGGAACTCGTCTAACATATTTAGAAAACTATGCAGTGCCAGCTTTGCAGTTTATGAAACCTCTTTAAACCGCTCTAAATTTGTGGCTATCAAAAGCCAAAGAAATGCCATCTTGTTCACATGTCTTGGCTGACGCCTCGTATTGCCAATGTATTAAGAAGCATCAAATTACAAGGATTATTTCTAAGTGTTCACAGCGCAATGTAGCACGTACTGAGTCACCACAAGCACGCAATCTTGTGTATTTCCAGGAAATAATAGCAGCTGCTTTAAATTGTCACTATTAACTGGATCACAGGCGTCCATTTATTGCACCTGAATGGCGAGATACGTTTTGTTCTGCGAAGCAAGTTTCCTTGAGGTTTAGTTGCAGAAAACCATTGTCATCAGTACTTGAAAATGGGCCACAGTGAGTTAGTGGTCAGTGCCTTTAGATGATCTAAGTACCTGGAACTGGCGGCAGTGTTGGAGAAGGCTGGGCCCAAGGCAGAAGTACATTTTCTGGCCAAGGAACAGTTTTCGTCCCTTCTCAGCAGATCAAAGCTGAGAAATACCTACTTAACAGAATCATGTGGTACTAGATTTCAGGCCTAATTTACAAAGTACAAATTGCTCGCTTTAAGGTTAAAACAGTTGGAGACACAATGACCAGGAAATGAATGGACTTACCTGCAGAGTGTGCTCGACCTGATGAATATTACTGAATACAAGGAATGCATTAAAACTATCGCAAATTTTACCCCGTTATTTCCCTGTAGATGTTTTCATTTTTATATCGTGCTATTGTTAAGACAGTGAAGACAAATATGATGGCTTAGTTGGTAGTATCGCTGTCTAGAGCAAAACTGAGTCAGACAGAGCAAGCACCTGAATTACATAGTTACATGAAGTCATACACACAGAAATGGGCCATTTGTCCCAACCAGTCCATGCCAATGTTTATACTCCACATGAGTTCCAACCGCATCCAATTTCCCTCTGTTGTACCTTTTCCTTCTCCCTCAGGTATGCATCACATTTTCTCTTAAATACATTGATGTGATTTGCTTCAGCCATTGCTTCTGGCAGTGTGTTCCACATTCTCACCACTGTATATTCCTGTCTGTTTTCTAGCTGGTTTACATTTAAGTCCTATGCTTTTGGATTCACCAACAAAAGACAGGTCATCAACATCTACCTTGATCCAGGTGTATCCAGGTTTTCGCTGAATTTAGCTTCTTTCTGCTTGACAAGAGGTGGGGTCGACACACTGTGATGAGTTTAGTTTGTTCATGTGTACTGTGAAAAGTTAATCTAGGAGATGTGAAATATGAAAAGGATGAAAATCAAGTGGTCTTAACACATTTTATCTAAGTCAGCAGTACTATTTAACAAAGACTAACCCAGCATCAACTCTCTTTATTAACAGGTACGCAGGGTGACATGGATCAGATGCGCGTTGAACCAAACATCTATCTTGGGTCACAGTTTCCAGGTGAGGTGATGGTCAGACCACCAACGTAGTAGCACAGATTGCTTTGTGAAGGCTTGTTTTGAGACTTATCTTCGTCTGCCCACGATCCATTTCAAGGAGTAAGAATATAACACCACCTGAGCTTCAAAGGTGTCTCACAAAACAGCCTGGCTTGAGCTAGTCTTTGTGTACTCAAGAAAATTGTCTTTCGAATGGAAAGCAAATCAGTCTGTCAGTGCTCCTTGGAAGTTTAATAACGTTGCATTAAATGGCCCCAGGTGCTCCATTGAAGGACATTGGGAACGGCTCTTGTCCTCCAAGAATCTGCATCCATTTAAACAGGCTGAAGGCAAAGCAGCTGGAATCCAGCATCAAGAGGGAACATGTAAATAGTATTATCTGAGTCTTTCAGAAGGGCAGAAACCCTCCTGTTTTTACAGGTGTTTCTAGTTCACCAGTTTGTTTCCAGAAGGCTTGTGGCTGCCCTCTGATTATTTTCGTTTTGTCCTCTCTTTGTTAACAATGACACCGCAGTGTGTTGGACAGCACCTGCCCCCTTAACAGTCTCTGTCAATGGCCTCCCAGTGGTTCAGAACTGCTGCTCACGCAGTCAAGCCTCTGCTGTTTGCATGGACTGATCAGAGCTGTGCAGAGGCTCGGAGGCTATATTGTGGTGTTCACAAAACTGCTCTTTGCAATCTCTAGAAAAACCCTTTAGAAAACATCACAAGTAATAGATGGCTTAAAACTGAAGTTGTGCGTCCCATTCCTTTTCCAGATCTAGATGTTAGACGATCCTTTCCTCCCCCCACTCTCTGATCAGGTTACTGAAAGAAGAATTTCACTCACTAGACTGGAAATTGAATGGTTTTATTAATAATTGTGTGAGCTGAGGTGACTTGATTCACAGCCATATGTAATTTCCTACGCCAGGCTGGGTTGGATTGAATTTGAATCCGCCTCGCCGCACCCGACCTCTGCAATCCTACCGACCCTGACACTCCTTCTGCTCAGGAAACACCTGGTTCATGCCCCCTGCTTGATCTGCCCTACCATTGGTGGGCAAGCTTTCAGCTGTTCTGCCCCCGCCCCACTCAGATTCCCTCCGCCTTGCCCCCTTTCCTCCCTCACCACTTCTAAAGCCCTCCTTGACTTATCTCTTCAACTGTGCTTTGGGTCTTCTTTTTCTCTCTGCCTCTCACCCTCCTCAGCTCTTCCTCCCCATACACACAAAGTCCAATGCCCAGTCAGCTGCGTGAAGCACTTTAAGATGTGCTCCTGACGTGAACAACGCTGTATAAATGTAAATTGCTGCTATTGTTGTTGTCACCTGACCTGGTCCAGAACTGCTGTGGGGCTCAGTAGCTCTACAACATGGATGTTATAAACCTTGCCAGGTTATTGGACTTGTATGAGAAACTGTGTGACGCTGCAATGGGAGAACAGTGAGTGGGTGTTCTGGAAGGCTCACATTTTAGGGCCTTTATCAACTCTCTTGTGATTTTATGAAATTCTTCTCCCGTTTTGTAGTCCACTTACTTCATTTATTGGCAAAATCAGTAATTTCACATCTAGGAGTTATTATAAGCATTGAGAATCAGGACCATGAACCTTGGGGAGGGGGGGAGTGGGGAATGACATAGGTAGTAAAATCTATTTAAAGAGAAAGAGCTATGGGAGTGACATTTTGTAAAAGTAGGTTTCATTGTTAAAATGAGTGATCATCACTCTTAATGCCTGGTATTAACCTAGCAGGTCTGGTTTGGACTACACGTTGATGAAAAATTATTATATTAGGTCTTCCCTCTACTCCCCCCCCAATGTATTCCTCTTCCCCACCTCCAAACCCACCTCCCATCCATCCATATGTTTTCCCGTTCACCATTTCTGTCTCTGATGAGCCAGGTGCTGAAACATGATGTTTTTTTCACCTAATCCAAATGCAGCTCTGCTCAGGTTCACTATAATCAATAATGTTGATAAGGACAATACAAGGGCATTCTCTTTGCTTAATTCAAAGGGCATTGCTTATGTTACCGGAGAGATTTCTATCAGGAGCTGAAGTACAGGGCCGTAAATTAGAAGTGACTGAGTTTATGCTTCGAAGTGGTTAGTGAGCTGAAGTTGATTAATGGGTCCAAAATTCAGTCGCTTCAATGCCAGTGAGGGCAGTTGGGTCCCAAACTATTTAACTCTCTAAGTTCTGCATTGCCAAGTATAGGGACGTCTTCCCGACATGAAAGGCGCTCCACAAATGTAATTTTGTTGTTGTTGTTGCTTTAGTCATTGTTTAATGCTGAAAGGTTTAGTGATTTGCAGAAGGTAAAAAAATCACTGAGGTCGAATTAGTGTTTTTCTTAACAAGATTCCTTGATAAGGAATTCTTGTTGACCCACAGGAACTGTGCTGTGAAGTGGAGCTCACTGGAGTGCAGTTGCTGTCAGTGGGAGTGATGTACTTCCACAAATGAAAGTAATCCCTGTTTTTTCACAGTTTCCTCATTAAGAAAACACTGGTTAGGCCTCAGCTAGATTACTGTGTTCAGTTCTGGGCACCACACTTTGGGAAGGATGTCAAGGCATTGAAGAAGGTGCAAAGGAGATTTACCAGGATGGTACCAGGAATGAGGGACTTCAGTTAGAAGGAGAGGCTAGAGAAGCGAGGATTATTTTCCTTGGAGCAGAGGAGGTTAAGAGGAGACTTAATCGGAATTTTCAAAATTTTGAGGGGATTCGATTGGGAGAACAAAGGCAAACTATTTCCACTGGCGGAAGCCGATTCAATAACAACAAGATTACATTTGTATGACACCTTTCACGTCGGGAGGATGTCCCAAGGTGCTGGAAATAACAACTTTTAAGAGAGAAGTAGATAATTATTTGGGGAGGACAAGTTTGCAGGGCTATGGGGAGAGCGCGGGGGAGTGGGATTGATTTAGATAGCTCTTTTCAAAGAGCCGGCACAGACACGATGGGCCGAATGGCCTCCTTCTGTGTATAATTCTATGATTCTATGATCTAAGAACTACTGTAAATTTAACTCGCGATTCTTTTAGATGAGACATAATTCAGTTCTGATTTATCTATTCCCAGTCCACTGGTTTACTGGACTAATTTATGTCAGAGTCTATGATGAATCCCATCCTGATGATCCACAATAGAAATATGTTTTTAGAGCTGCTGGCATTTTTGACATTGTGTTAATATCCAGAGTATTCATTTATGATGGCAGTTGACTGCTTTCTTTCTGTCTCTTTCCACATCATCTATTACTTTCCATATCAACTACAATTTATGCAGCGCCCTTTACACGGGGTAACGACATGGAGTGCTTCACAGAAACAGGGCCTGATGGCGAGCAGGCACAGGAACAGGTCATTCGGCCTAACTATTCTGCGCTGGTGCTTATACTCCACATGAGCCCCCAACCCATCCTATTTCCCTCTCCTGTTCTCCTCTATTCTTTTGTCGCTTGTTCTGAGTGCTTTGACTTTATCTTTTGTATTTCTCTCTGTTAATATTTCTCTTTTTTTTTCTCACCGTCTACTTCCGCTCTCCTGAATGAGTTTGACTCCTTATCACTACAACTAAGGTAAAGTTCCATGGGCGATGGACATCCTCTGCTACATCGTCTAAATAGCCACATTGCTGAGTGTTGACATGTGGTGTCAGCAACATTTGGCCACAGGGGCATCACAGCCAAACCCAATCCTGCCTCTGACCTAACATCCAGCAGGGCTCAGCTGGCTCAACTAACTCAGCACTAGATATGAACGTGCTGTTGTCTGTGAGCCTTTACCCACCTTCTACGTCAAGCTTTCATCATTCAGACACTGGTTGTATGAGTTTGTTTTTGGTTTTAAAGGTACAGAGGCTGAAACAAACCTACAGTCAAACCTCCAGGCGTCTCCTCTGAAAATGTCCGTAACTCTACCTTCCATGAATGAAGAAGAGCAGTGTGACAGCATCAGCACCATCGATGGGGATGACACATCTGGGGCCGACATATTCTGAATTTCAGAGACAATTACAATCTGGATTCAGTTGCATCAAACGGGTCATTTTAACTTTTACCTTTTAATGCATTGTTTTGATAAATTTCATTAACCTCTGAAGAGACTAATGATGACAGATAGAAAACAGAAAGTCTTTTGGGAAAAAATCCCGGTTTGCATTATTTTGATAGCTTGTTTGTATTTTGATAGCTTGTGTGTTTTAATGACCAATGAAAAATAAATCAAAGTAGTTTTCTACAAAGTACATCTTCTCTTTGCTGTGAAAAACTGAGTAACAGTGCATGATCAGGAAGCGTCATTTGGTGTCGCCTCACTCTCTCAAGCCAGTGTTATTCAATGTGGGTGTTGGACTACAGTGCACAAGGTGGATGTGTTCTAGTGACATTTACCACTTGTTGGAACTTCCCCATCCTTCGGAACTCCATCCTACAGTCCCTTCGCCTCGCCCCCTATCTTGCCTCCTTCAAGGCCCGTCTCCTCTTCGACCGCATCTTCGGTCAATCTCCTACCCATACCCTCCCTGCCCCTTCTGATCCCAACCCCCAGCTCAGGTCCAAATCCCTGATTGTCCAGAGTCTTGAGAAGTCCTCCCGACGTGAAAGATGCTTTACAAATATAAATTGTTGTTGTTGTTGTTTGTACAAGCTGAAAGTGAGGATTTAATTATAAGACTTGCTCCTTTTTCACCTTTTACGCCTGTTATAATCACAAGATTTCTTTCTGCAGAGCCTGTGAAAACTACAGGAATGTTTCCCTGAATTGTGCAGCAATCTTTGAACATTTCTTGAATAGCAAGGAAAGTTTTTTCTGTGTCCTTTTTTAAAACTACAGACACAGAAAGAAACATTGAAGTGAAGTTCCCCGAAATGGTTTAATTGGTACAGACACTGTCGTGGTGTAAAACTAAGCCACACGGGGAGGAAAACTCGCAGATTTGAGCCTGAGCTTGTGATCTCAGATAGGCCAGCAGTAGGGGTGCTGCAATTGGCCTCGGTTCCTGTCACTATGCATAACAGTAACTATTGTGAAGCGCTTTGAGACTTTTGAATGTTAAAGATGCTATAAACATATGAGATCTTTGTCTCGCTGCAGTGCCATCTTCGGGCAATTGCAAGAGGAAGCTTGCAAAGTGCCAGTCTGCAACAGAGAATAGGAACGCTCTACACCACTTGATCGTCCGTCTGTCTTGTCCTGTCCTTATCTTGATTCAGTTTTAGCACAGCGAGCTGAGAGGGTGAATATGAGTGGAGCTGTGGAGAATGATTGACAGGTCCAGGTGATCCTTCTCCTCACACCCTCCCTTTCCCTCCCTTGGTCACCAGGGAGCTGCTTTTAAAAGGATTTGGATCAGTACAATGAGGCTCTGTAATCTTCTCTTCAGCTGTTGCCTTTTAACAGCAAGTTGACCGGAAACCTAAGAGAGACTGAATGCGGGTGCCCTGGCACGCTCCAACACTGAGGGGCAGGATGAAGTTATGCATCCCCCAATCTGACACTTGGCAAACTTCCTCACAGCCGTGCTGGAGGCTAAGTGCTTCCCACAGAGAGGGAGGGGACGTCAGAGGGATGCAACCCATTACCAGGCAGCCGCCCCACAGAGTAACACTGACAGAAGCTCTGGAGCAAGTTTCCTGCCTGAGATCTCGGCTGGAGAGAGGAGGCGGGATGGGCAGGGGAGTGGGGGGAAGGTCGGAAAACAGGGTTTTAAAGTGGAGATGAAAAGTTTTATCAACAAAGATAAAAGTAACACTCTTAAATGCAGCGTGCGTTTAAAACTTCCATCAGCCTACGAATTTTCTTGCAGTTTTTCCGAGAATTAATCGATGAATATTTTTTATTGTTATAATTTGCTTTTTCTTGTTCTGAACTATAGGTCCATACAATGTGAATGATGTTGCTTGCAGTTAGTTCTAACTTGAACATAAAGAGTACAAAGAACAGACTGTGCTTCTTCAAGCTCATGGTGAATGCTGTCTCGGCAGGGCATGTTTCCTCTTTCTCTGACAATCATTCTTTTGCTCTCTTTCCTTGTCTCTCTCACTCTCTTTCTCTGATACTTTCTCTTTTTAAAACTTGGACATATGACGCCTTTGTCCATTGTTTTGTGGTGAAGCTTTTTGATTTTTTTCATTAAAAAATTGTGTTCACTACCCGCATAATAATAATAATAAGTTCCCTTTTCAGCTTTAATCTGTCTATTTCTAGCTTTGATCTCTCATTTTTCTACACTCTGCCCCTTGATCTGCCAGCACCAGCCTCACGATGCTTAGGCGTTGAGTCAGCCTGTCTGCCTGCCAGCACAGTCATGTGCATGATGTACCTCCAGCCGATACAGTATTGATCTATAGTACTGCGGTCACTCTTCTCTACAGTATATCTCCCACAAGTAAAATGTTCTCTTTAACTTTCCAGTTTGAAAGAAGCGAAAACCATTAAAGAAATATTGTGCAAACAACACAATATGCAAGTATGTGAACTAAGAGCCTTTACTGTCAGACAGGGCCTTGGATCGATGTCTCATCGAAGGACAGCACCTCCAACAATGCAGTCACCCCACCCCAGTAGATTGGTACTGTACTGCATTTGTGTTGGTACAATGGTGCATTTCAACATGTTTCTTGATAATAATAATTATTCTTGCATTTGATATAGCACCTTATCATGTCAATGAGACGAAAGTGAATTCACTGAATATTTTGTGGGTGAAAAGCAGCAGCCCACTGTGCACAACATTGTCCCACAAACAGTCGTGGATTGAGTGACCAAATTATTATTTATATTATTTACTTATTTATAAATTATTATTTATTTTATTTACCTACAGAAAGTGATTCGCCAATTGACTAACAACAGGGTTTCCTACTTACCGGTAGGTAAACACAGTCGTGAGGAGTTAGGAAACTTGCTTAAGGTTTCACTCTGTTCGGGAATCGAACCCAGATCCTCTTGCTTTGTTCTCACAAAAAGTGATCTCTGTAAAAAAAATTCTGGTCTCATTCCAAGAGCTCCTTGTTCATTGCGAGCACACAGCTGGGGTTGGAATTCCTGGCAATTATACAGTGTATTTTATTTGGAAATATTTAGTGAATGCATTCCCAAACAAACCTAATCAGTAAAGTGATGTTCCACTGAGACTTTGCAAACAATCCCTTCTTTATTGTTTTTATTAAAAACTGACAATATCTAAAATAAACATTATTTCAAGCATTGAAAACACCCTTCAAGGCACACCACAAGCAAGGAACGCCCTACAACTGTACACTCGATTTTGAGAATCCTGGGAATATTGCTTGGTATTCTCCTGACCTACTTTCCATAGATCCCAATGCAGGATTATTGTGTTCTACCCCTAGGCCCGTGAGCATGCTGTCTTCCAAAATCTTATTCCTAGATATGGAGGTTGCATTGATCTTTAGTGTTAGTTCCTCAGGGCATGGGGAGGGGTGTCCACCTGGGGAGGCACAAGATCTACGTTTCCAGGTTTTGCTCCAGATTTAGCTAACAGAGCTCTTTGTACGCCTGCCCCCTTCACATGGGATACTGTTGAGAATTGCTCAGGAGTACTATTGGAGCCCTTTCTTGCCCTTTAGAGAAAGGCGGATCAGTCTTCCAGCTGACAGTGGTCAAATGAGACACAATCTGTAAACCTGTGAACGCTGAAGATACATACAGTCAACAGGTTTGTGCAGGTGGGTACAATGGAATCTCTCAGACGCAATCAACTGTATCAAATGAGTCTCTAAACCACTCACCATCAGAAAGCCTTAGAGAAGAGGCACCAACATGCTGACCCATTTAACAAGTTAACTGTGAAAATGTGGCTGTGCTTAAGAATTTTCCAAAATGATGCATGATCTACATTTTTGAGCAAATGAGGTGAAGACAGGAGAAAAGCAAATGAGATGAAGACGGGAGAAAAGGCCGGCACTATGAACCTTTTCTCGATGTTGTGCCTTGGATATTTGACATAGGAGGTGTTTTCCTGTTTACGTGACCATGATAATAATAATCCTTGCATTTGATATAGCGCTTTTCATGCCTTCTAGACGTCCCAAAGCGCTTCACAGAATATACTGTAAAGTGAATTGACTGCATATTTGTGGGTGAACGCGGCAGCCAATTGCGAGCAGCAATGTCCCACAAACAGTCGTAGATTGAAAATGACCAATTTATTATTGTTTTTTTTGGAGTGATTATTATTAGGCGTATGGAGTAAGGAAACTTGCCCAAGGTTTCGCCCTGCCTGGAATTGAACTCGGGTCTCTCACTTGCAAAGCGAGTGCTCAGACCACTTAGCTACAGGATTCAAATGATGATGAAACTCAACCTGAAGTCCAAGGAGAGAAGCAAGGCTACATTGAGTGTTAAAAAGAATCAGTGCGTGCGTTTCTACATTTACAGGACATTGAATTGCTTGCAGGTACATTGCAACAATCATTTTGTGCTGACCAGGCAGAAGCTATCCTTGACACCGCTGGCTTTCAGAGTGGGAGATCCGCTCAGGCACTAAATGTATTTAAAGTTCTGTAAATGTAAGAGAATTACAAGGAGAGGCTAAAGAAAATAGGAAGAAAAGAACACCCAAAGCTGATCATATTGAAGTATTCTAGATCCTAAAGGATAGAAATAAATACAACCCTAACAATGTTTAACATGGTCAAAAACTAAAGGGGCACAGTCAGACACAGAAGAGGGAAGGTGAACACACATTACAGATTTAATCTGTAAACCGGTTGTTGTAATGGGAAAACGAGTGGGTTGATTTCATTTTCATATGTACAAACCTGTACCAGACTTTCAAGCCATCCAGTAGTTCTTAACAGCGAATTGCTTGATCTAAAACGGTCAGCATTTTCTGCAGCTCATGCAGCCTGGAAGTACAAGATTCACTTTACAGTATATTCTGTGAAGTGCTTTGAGACATCTCGACGATGTGATAAAGAGCTATATCAAATGTAACGATCATCATTATTATTATACCAAATGGGCCGAAGGGCCTTCTTCATCCAAACCTCTCGTGGTTTTTCTACAGTTATCGCAAAATCTTAAATTTTTAACACAAAGTTCGTGTAGGCTCCAATTGTGTCAGCAAATTCAAGAGAGAGAGAGAAAGAGAGATTTGACGAGGAAACTGATTGCAGATATGAGATACAATGGTGCAGGATTACTTATTGTTGGTTATTTTATTCTTTTTTTACTTTGTGGCTGTACAGATGGACTCAAATGATCCTGTCCTATTCC